GCTGAACCGATAAAGTATCAATTAATAAATCATTAAATTGATACAAGTATCAACTCCCAAATCACAATGAATACATATAGAATCAATCAACAATAATTGATACAAGTATCAATTATCAATTAATACTATTTTCAGTCCTAATCATAGACAATAAATTAGACTTTTCTTTGATTTTAACTAGAAAGAATAAACAGTTTTAAAAATTACACAAGATTAAATTTCTTTTATACCTTTCATTTATTGTTAACTATATTTCATATACATTTACTTATAATTAGTATTAAATATAATAATCATTTAAAGTAAAGGGTATATTTGAATTAAAACTTGAATTAAGGTAGAATTAATTAAAAGTAATCATATTACTTACTTTTTTATCTTAATTATTTGTCGTATATTACTTGTAATTAAGATAGGATGTTATACTATTTGAACAAACTGAAATCAATTGAAAAGATTAAGATTTAAAAAATAATATTAAAAGGCAGAAAATTGAATCAACCTCTTATTATATTTGTTACTAACTATTAAATTATTATTTTTAAAATTTTGATTGGACTAGCCTAACCTAAAATCATTTGACCCGTTGGACTATGTAAGCCAGAACAAAATATTTGTTTCTATCTAGGTCACCTTTTTTTTTTAAATTCACCCTACTCCTATTTATGGGTTGTTAGCCTATCAAATCAAATCAAAATAATTGGCCCCTTGAATTTGAATCCAAGGGTAAAGATGTGCACTGAAAATAAAGAAACAATTTGAATTTAAAAGAGCTTAAGCAAGAAAGAATGCAGCAGAAAGGACAAGAATGCAATTTAGAATAAATACTTGAAATATAAAGGTACAAAAATTTCAAGTCAAGCAATTCAAGTTACTAAAAATGTAAAAACTTGTATTTAAGAAAAGAAATGCAGAAGAGATTCGAATAAAAGGGAATCCTAGTTTTATAAATGGCAATGACAAATTGAAAAACAAATAAATTGCAAGAAACATAAATTGAAATGCAACTAAATGAAATGTGAAGACTTTTATTGAGAAAAAAAAAATAGTTAGAACATATACTCGACTCATTGAATGACTATTGATTTGTGAGGCATAATAAGAGTCACAAAATATTGGATTTGTTTCAACAATAAAAATTGGGTTACAAAAATCCTATTTATAGATTTTCAACCCTAACAATCAAATCATGCTATATAAACACTCATAAACATTTTTCAAAAGATATTACCATTTAATTCAATTTGTGTATTAAAGATAATTACCAGTAACTTCCTCTTCATTGGAACCTTACCTTGAAATCATTTATCTAAGAACTTGTCTAATGTCTTCGATTTCAATCTTCAACTTTAACTCCAAATTTTAACCATATTGTCAACATCATTAGAAAAGAAACAGATCTTCAAGAAATAGATAGACCATTTGAATGCTTCTTCCAACACTTCAGAATTTTCCTACGTTAGACATCAATGTAACTTTATGGTAAACCAACCAGACAATGCGTAAAAGCATGTTTTGGAGTTGCGCTGATGCATGATTTAGACTGATGCTAGAGTTGGTCGACCTTTCTCTGGAATATGTCATGTAACAATAGCGAATTCCTTAAAACGTGTCTAGGACTTCCATAATTGTGAGGATTCCGTGCAAATTAAGTGTGTGGCAGTAGGGGAAAGGGAAATCGCAGCCAGCAGAAATAAACTTCGAACTGCATCGATCAGCAGTTAAGCACAACGAATAGACAAATTTGCCCAGTTAAAAAATACAACACTCATAATCTGAAAATTCTTCAAATTTTACAACTGGCGGTGGCGGGATCAAAATTAAACCTAGGAATGAAGTTTTATTTCTATATACCGATACAAATTATTTTAATATTCAATACGACAAGTCCCTGAGAAAAGTAATCAACTACAGAACACTTATCAGAGCCTCCGTAAAATTCGCAAATAATATAGCAGTAATATTTAAATCCAGTAGACCGAGCATCACAACAATTATTAACTTCAACAAGTGGATCATGACTCTTGCGGCGTCTCAAATCTTGTTGGGGTGTCAATTCCCATCATGCAGCAAAGGCCCGATATCAAAATAATTAGCAAAACTATACCCTGGATTATCACAGAAAGCAATATTATCAGAATACCATAAATGTCATGGTCACATTGCAGTATTTCCGCAACCCTCAGCAGATGCAGTTAAACATGAAGAGAAACCACACAAGACAGCCACCTACTCTAAATGGCCCACTCAATATCAGATGCACAGACAATTAAAATGAAAAGTAATTTTTGCTGTCTCGGGGCATGTCATGTAAAATCATAAAAGATGAGAGGAGCTAATTTGACTGTTCAACGTTACATATTTAGTTAAGATTAAACTACAAACTCAGTCTTAACCATCCATGAAAAATACAATGGTCAAAAATCAAGATTAAATCATCTCACACTTTCACCTATTACACTCCTTTCTTGTCTCTGCCTGCCTACATATTGCAGGTTACTTGGTTACTATAGCACGGGTTCATGATAAAATGTGTGATCAAGAAAAAAAAAATAGAAAGAAAAGCTAAATAACAAAACTAACTAGATAATGATAGGCCATACATGAAAACAACAGACCAGGTAAAGGGGAATAATTGACAAACATTTCATGCTCTAATTAAAAATCAAAAGCAAATATTAGCAACTCCTACCACACTAAACTGAATTTAGGGCCCATTAGAGACTCAAGCTCCCCATTAAGAATTAAGATCAACTTTCCATTTAATATTTGGTTTACTAAAGCCCAATTGCAACATAAAAGATCCTCTTCTGACGTTCCAAATTTCAAATATGTTCTCTATGCTACTAAAACCTAGACACCCATAGAATCAGAAAGGATATTCCTAACACAGGCAAAGATGAGTTTGGAGGATCCCAGGACAAAGTGAAGAAGTATAAGCAAGTCAGGAAAGTAAGGAGTAAACTGTAAAAGTAAATATCACATATTAATGGAGGTGTTAGCTAATATATAGATATAGAGCCTGTTTGGATAAACTTATCCATAAGCACTTTATGAAAAGAAAATTTGAAAGAAATGAAATTAGTATCTCCATAAACTAACATTAGTTTATACATGAGTTAAAAAACATATTAAGAAGCTAAAATACGTTAGCTTTTCCACACATATTTTGGAGAAGCTAATTTAAGAGAAAATTTCCAAACATATTTTAGAAAATTTAATATGAGAGAACTTTTCCAAATTTAATGCATAAACTAATTTTAATTTATAGACAAGCTAATTTTTTCCCCTTATTTTCTTAAAAGTGTTTATGAAGTTTATCAAAACAGACTCTTAATCTCCTTGTCTCTTATCCCTACAAATTAGGAGCTATCTTTCATAGGTCATTTGAATGATAGTGCTTAATGTAAATTCATAGGGGCTGAGAGCTTGAGGGGGAGAGATCTTAGACGACTCCCAAGTATTTTAAGAGTTCTCCAAACAATGCAAATCCTTTGATTCTCAGTTGATACAATGCAAGCACATCAATCCTCAACAAAATATGTCTACAGATATTTAGCAAGGTCTTCAACAATTTCATACGCATCGGTTAAGAATACTGTCATGTTTTCACATATTAAGACTGAAGGACAGTTCTACAAAGAATTTTTCCATATATATAACACTGGTTAAAATTTTTAACACACCAAATTTAACAGATCGCATAGTCTGTAAGGGAGCAAATGAAACAAATGCCCAAGACCTCCTAAGTCAGGATACTGAGAATGCTGAAATATTACGGGATGAGCAATTGAATATGATGAGATTATCAACCTTGGATTGTTAAAACTGGAGGCATTGAGTTAGAAACAGACAGCAATCTACACAAGCCCAACAACAGTATAGTTGTGGTCTATAGAACTTATTCATCAACAAGGAAGAAGAAAAAAAACAGAATAGTAAAACAAGGCAACTCCCAAATCATCAAGCACTTGTAAAAATGGATAGAGAAGCTTACCACTAAAATTCCCTCTAGAAGAGATGATTTAAGCCGACAGACTTCATCACAAAATGTGGAATTGGTTGATTCATTCCCTGCTGTACTTTCTGCCAGAAACCTTTGCAGTTCCCTGTAAGAAGGATACTGGATTGACCTGGTGGGATCTGACACATAAAGAACGGCATATTTTGCACCAGATTTCTCCACAGAACTGATAAGCTTGGATAAAACTTCCCCTACAAACACACAACAGACACAAGCATTTAAAAATATGGTAAAATCATATCTAGCAAAGCACATAACATTAAAGCACATGCACCTTCAGATTGTGTCCTGTCAACATTTTTCAGAGCTTGAGAGCCTCCATTGCAAAACACGACCAAATCTGTTTTCCCTCTGTGACTCCCTTCCATCCTTTGGGTCAAATAGTCCTGCAAATGGGCAATAAAGAGCATTAGGTCACCATTACAGGACCCAAGATTTCATAATGGACCATGTCACATTAATTTGTTCATTACTTGAACCGAGTGCAAAGCTGTTGCTTCCTCATAATTTGTACCATCCATGGAGCAAGATCCGTGGAAAGCAACATTGGCAATTCCCATATCATCTTCACAGGCTTCAGCAAATCCTGAAACCAACAAGTTTTCCAAATGCACATCCTCTGATGCAGAAACATAAGGAAAAGCTACAGAAGTGTTGGATCTTGTGAAAGAGATCTGTTCATGACAATGGAACAGTGTCACAGTCAAAAATCCAAATAGTAATTCCTTTAGATATCTCAAATCAGGTTTACTCAACACGGAAACTTGACAGACTGCATGTCACAAATCTCTCACCTTGAGCATGTCTAAAAGAGCTGGGTCTGCATTATTGTTTATGATTAAATCAGAAGATTGTAACTGAAAAAGAAAAAAGTAACACATTTTACTCAACCAATGCCAATGCACTAGTTGACAAGAATCTAATATCAAGTAAACAATAAATACAAAAGCTGCAACATGAACTATCTATATAGATGTTTGACAGATATTACCTCTCTACCAATGAATAATAGTGCCACATCCAGAGGCTCATCAAATTTATTTCCTTTGCACTATCCAAAATAAATAAAAATTAAAAACACTAAGCAACAAAAATGATAGAAATAAAGTGAACAAAATTGAAGCAAAACTAGCATAAATAAAAAGAGGGGGAAGAAGTCCCCTTCTCCATAAAGGTTGAGGGAGGAGAGAGAACTGCAGAGTATATAGTGGGAAACCAGTCATGAAGACTAGTATCATACCAGAAAATTTGACCACCCCGCTTCAGATAAAACAGACTTGGCTAGATCTTTTGGAGAAATGACTTGGTAATTTACGGATTCCTTCAATTCATTCTCAGAAGCCCTGTAATTTTCAAGTAACATATTAATTAGTTGCTGAAGTACATAATGTAAACACGTGAAGGGAATATTCAACAACGGTACACAAAAGCCCATTCTTACGTGAAATAAATCGAACGAAGTATCTTGCAATTTAAAAATGTTATCAGTTGCCACTAAAGACAACAAGAATTAAGTGAGAGTGTTGCATACTTTACCAACAATTTTCATTTTAACCATGTTCATATTTTCCACTTATTTCACACTAAACCTTAAAACCACAAATTTGAAGCCCTAAAGACCACCATCTCTGCTATTCTCTTGAATAATCCAGAAAATCCATCTCCAGCTTATGAACCAAAGTGTGTGTGCGTGATGTCAGTTGAAACCTAAAAATGATGCGTGGATTTTTCACTACTTCAATTCCTCACTCGATTTTCTTCCGTTTTGAAACCTTTTACACACGTGGTTTCTATATTCCCTTCCCTGAACTACAACTACAACCCTAGAAAAGCTAAATTGCTCCGTCTTCCGACATAACCGAAATTCACCATTCTCTAGCTTTCGGATTAACCTTATTCTATCCTAATCATAAAAGCTGGTAATAACTAGATTAAATCTAACGCTGATTGTTATTAGCCACATCCACGCGAATCAAAGAGTATGAAACACGGCAAGTAAAGATTAACAGTATAAGTAAAAATTGTGAATTGTGAATTGACAGAAACACGAAAAAGAGTAAGAGAATGAGAAATTACAGTTGATAATGCGATGACCAAAGGAATGCGGGGACGGTGGAAGGAACTGCTAACAATCCATTAGGAACAAAAGCAAAAAGAATGAAAAGAGTGAGCAGCGGCACCGCCATGGTTGTTCCTGCACTCGCAAACAACAATTCGAGGTTAGATCGCGCGATGATTTTGATCGATCAGCTTCAGATCGAGTCCGAACAACATACAAGTACAAATTTGAAGGGATGAATTAAACAATCGAAATGGATGGAAAAAAAGAGAGAGAGAAAATGAAAACCTAATCGCATCGTAACTCACCTTCTTCTTACACGGACACGACTCTTATTATTAATTTTATTAGAAATTGCAATAAAAACCACTCTTTCAACAATACATGCACACCTCGCTCGCTCTTAATGGAGATCTATGCTCAGTAAGCTGCCAAAAAATTATGTATGTTAAATGCGTGTATTATACGGTCTAAACATTATTTTATTTTTATTTAAATATATTTTTTCCTTGAATAAAATCGGTTTCTAAATTTAATCTTTACATAAAATAATTATAAAATAAGTGGCTTCCTGAATAATCTTCCTACAGTTTTTTTTTTCATTTAATTCATCTGAAAAAGTCTTAATTAAGTTCTCCACATGATATTTTATTCAATTTCCTTTATTGATAAAAAAAAATTAAAATAATAATAAATAAGATCAAAATTAAGTTTTCATATATCCATTCTAATTCTCAGCCTCTAAATTGATCTAATATATTTTTTTTCTTCAATTTGATTGTCTTATAACCCTTATTTATATATTTATTAAATTTACTCTAATTGTTATTTTTCAATTTGATTATAATGGATAAACTTTGTTATTGTCTATGAATAAAAAATATTATTAAAAAACTTTTATTTATATATTCTCAAATAAAAAAATAGGACATGTTAGTTTTTTTTAGGGAGGCATGTTTGATTTTCTTCTTGGCTTTTGGTTTTAAGAAATGTTTTTTTTAGAATAATTCAACACTATTCAATAATCAGTTTCTTTTCTAAATTTTATTAAATTTTGAACAATATTTTTAAAACAATTATTTTAAAAAAGAAAGAAAGAAAATGAAATAGTTGTGAGATATTTTCTCTTCTTTTATTCTCATATTGTCAACAAATTTTTCAATTTCAGATTTATCACGTGTCTCGCAACGTTTTCTACAAGCTATGTTAATACTAAACAATTTTATTTAGTTGTATTTTGAGAACTAAAAACATTTTCGAAAATAAAAATTAAACACAGTCTTACTACTTCTTTACTTCTTTACTCTTATTAATATTACAAATCCTAAATCTTCATCTTTAGACTCGGAGTATTTTTTTAAGATCTGTTATCATTTTTATTAAGTCACATGGGTTATCTTATCTAATATATTTAATATTTAATTTTTTTAAATTATTTATTCCTTTCAAATATATTTCTTAATTATAGTTTTAAATTTTAATCTTACTATGTTGTATAAAAATGAAGATATTTTTCTTACAATAAAAATTACAATATATATATATATGAAAATAAGTTTAAAATGATATTTAAATAATATTATTGTATTGGAATTTAAAATGAAAACTTAATTGAACTATTACAAAAAAATAAAATCATGAACTGTAAAAATATTTTATTAATAAACGTATTTTTAATATATACTCTTATTAATAAGAATACATAATTTGGATAGTCTAATCATTCTTTGAATTAGACATTCTCAATGCTCTTTCTTATCTTCTTTGGATACGTATTCCATATTACAAATACACACCGTTCTTATCTGATGAATTTCTCATTCAACTAAGAGATATGAACTTTCAATCTAACGGTTAAATTTTTAAAAAATTCACATTTAATATAAAGTTATTGAGCGGTATAACACTTAGTAAAAGTTACACCGGTGTCGTTTGAACCCTCATATATATATATATATATATATATATATATAGATGGTTCACGCATGAAACACTTGAAGCAGTTCTTCACGGTAGAAATCACCAAAATCTTGACTAGTTAACTTTAAATAAAATTATTAAAGAAAAATTAACTAGAAAAACATAAAGGTTTAACTTAAATAAAAATGTAAAATAACAAACTTAGATTTAAAACACAAAAACATAGTTTTGTCTATAATGTATTATAAAAAATTCTAACATGAAGCAGTATGAAATGTGGTACATGGATGAAACACTATTTTTAACCATTAGATTTAATAATATAATAATCAACGGTTCAGATTTGTTACCTGTAACTTGAAAAAGAAATTTTTTGTATTTTGCAGATTAGTCCCTGTGTGTAAAAATACAGAATTTGAGAGGGTTGCTGTTTTGGCTGCCAGTGGGTGGTGAGGACGAGGAACATGACGGCGACGAGTGTAACAATGAGGCCGTCGAGGGCAAGCGAGCTAGGGGCGGGCCAGGGAGGGCTGGATTTGGAGGTGGCGAGGTTTTGGTCGTAGTGGATGTAGTTGACAGCTGAAAAGGCAAAGGAGAGGCCTGGGAGAGTTGAACGCCACGGACGACAAAGAGGGGGAGGTAGCGACAAAGGAGGGACATGAGGCCAGTGGCGCCGAGGAGGAGCCCGCACCTCTACTACCACCGCGCGAAAGAGGCCGCACCTCCATTGCCACCACCGTGGAAGGAGACGGCACCTCCGCCGCCACCACACCTCTACATATAATATAAGGACTATTTTGCAAATATAAACAAGTTGAAAAGCTTGTTATTACTGGTAACTTTAGTGCCTCATGAATGAGGCATGAACTCAACTACTTCATGTTAGAAGCATTCATGTATTATTTGTTATTACTTATGTAAGTTTTGCGAAAATTCTAACATGAAACAGTGTGAAAAGTAGTACATCGATGAAATACCATTTTTAACTGTTAGATTTAATAATAAAATAATCAATAATTCAGATTTGCTACATGTAACTTGTAAATGAAAATTTTTGAATTTTACATATTAATCCTCTCTATTATGGTAATTATTTTTTTATTTTGGAGATTAGTCCCTTTCTTTAAAAATATAATTTGGAGAGGTTCCCGAAGAGGTGGATTTTGCGGAATGGGGAATGGGGAATGGAAAAGGGGAGAGTGTGGGTTTTATGGATGAGGGAGTTTCTTTCTTTTGCTCTACCGCCTTAAGAAATCACGACATGGAAACCCAAACCGACCATAATAGCTCTGAAAATCGACATTCACACGTCTAGCAGTAACCCCAAATAAAAAAAGAATTAATATAGGTAAATTTAGTATTACAAAATTAATGATAATTTTTAACTTTTAAGAATTATTTTAACATAAGGACTATGTTACAATTATAAATAAGTTACAAAATCTGTTATTATAAATCATTTTACTATCTCATTGATGAGACATTGCTTCAACTGCGCTCTAAGTTTTGATGATCTAAGGCATTGTGAAAAGAGTATAATTTTTAATGAACAAATATTAAATGAAAAACTAAACGTATCTAACATTTAGGATTTTTTGTACCAAATAACTAAATAAAAGAAGTAATAAGAGAATATAAAATGATCCTTAAAAAAAAAAAGTAGTTGAAATGATAACTTGATGGATTGCAATTTGCGTGAAGTAGGTGGGAGTGGCAGCTATCTCTCCGACTGAGGGGAGTGTGAGTCATCACTTTTTTGAGATTTTGGCCGCCAAATAAAACACCAAACACCAAACGAAAACAAATTCCGTTGTCTCTGTCGTATTTTAATTCGCAGATCTCGCTCACCTTCCATTCCTCCTTCTCTGCTTCTGTGATTCGGAAGCAAAATCATGTTTTTGGCGAGACCCATTTTCCGAGGACCCATTTCCCTTTGGGCGTTGCACTCTTCTTCTTCCTACGCATATTCCTCAGCAGCCGCTATTCAAGCTGAGAGAACCATCAAAGAAGGCCCCAGAAACGATTGGACCCGAGACCAAGTTAAATCAATCTACGACTCTCCCATTCTCGATCTTCTCTTCCATGGGGTAATAATTCCACTTAATTTCTGCTTTAATGGCTTCCTGCATTTTTTTACATAAGGAAAGTCCATTACTTTTGTGGGAAATAATGCGCGCATATATATACAAGTTGTGAGTGAGTTAGTCCAAACCTAAATTCTAAGATGGTATGATAGTCTTGCACAGTAGTAGTTGTTGGGCCTATTGGGTCACCACATGTTCATATTGTTGTAATTTTACTGAGAGATTTTGTTTCTATTTTGGGGGGTGATTTGTTTTTTCAGGCTCAAGTTCATAGACATGCTCATAACTTTAGGGAAGTGCAGCAGTGTACTCTTCTGTCTATCAAAACAGGAGGGTGCAGTGAAGATTGTTCCTATTGTCCTCAATCCTCTAAGTATGACACGGGAATCAAAGGCCAGCGCCTTATGAACAAGGAAGCTGTTCTCGGGGCTGCAAAGAAGGTACACTTTTATCAGATAATCAATTTATGTGTAGTGTTCTTCTCTAGCTTGTGGCCTCGTGATGTCATTACTGATCTCTGGAAAACTCTTTGGATCTGCCTCCCATGGAATGGTGTCATTTGAGTTATGCATTCTTTTCCAACATTTCTTTACTTAAGCATCATATATCTTCATATTTAAATTAAGAAATGTACTGTAGTTTAGATGTCGGGAATTTTGTTTTAGGTAAAAAAAGAAAGAAAAAAAAAAGATCATGCAGCTTGTTGCTCATGCGGTGCTATGCTTTTTCTTGAATGGAAATCCTTTTCCTTTAGGCAAAAGAAGCTGGGAGCACTCGCTTTTGTATGGGTGCTGCGTGGAGGGATACTCTAGGAAGAAAGAGCAACTTCAACCAGATCCTTGAATATGTGAAAGACATAAGGTAATGCATCATCATTTTATTTTTGTCATATTTATCAAGTACTAGACTAAGCTGTTGTGTCTAGGAAGATAAGTCTTCTTATTTTCATTTGTTTGTTATATATACATAATAAAAGGTTGGTGGTGGCTGAAAAATATGCTGAAGTTTTTATTTATTACCTTTCAAATGAAAATATACTTTAATACTTCTGTAAAAATGATAACACTTGGGCTCTCTGCCTTATTGTAGGGATATGGGGATGGAGGTTTGTTGCACCCTTGGCATGCTGGAGAAACAGCAGGCTGTTGAACTCAAGAAGGCAGGTTTCACTGCCTATAATCACAATCTTGACACTTCTAGGGAATATTATCCAAACATCATCACAACAAGGAGTTATGATGAGCGCCTGAAAACCCTTGAGTTTGTTCGTGATGCAGGCATCAATGTTTGTTCTGGTAATTATTGTAACTTAAAATACAATGAAACTTGTTAGTAATTTGCTATGACTAGTCAAGTTCATCAAGATGAATACAGTATAGCTTTCGTAAAATATTTTCTAGATTAGTAGTAGCTTGTCTATTTTATTCATGAGCAATTATTACTTTTTATTCTATAATCATATGTAGATCTTATTCGTTATGAACTCTTCTTTCACTGATTTTCTTTGCTCTGGACCATAAAGTTATATTGGTTTAATACTTGCTGAACTCGATAACTTAGTCTTGATAAATTGTTTAAATTTTGTTTACATGTAAGTGAGAATCAAGTCTCAAATTGGCTGCTTTTGGGAATAAAAACAATTCTAAATGTTAACTTGGAATTTGTAAAATTTGAAAAAAGTATGCTTTTGGGTTTATACATATTTTATGACATAATTTCTATAACTTCCCTTAAAGCTATGTTTAAGTAAGCATCTTATGGATGACCAATATTTATTTGAAGACTCAGCCATGACATCACCTGCTATCAAATCTAAATTTGCTTTGTATCTATCTATTTAACACTAACCTGAATTACTATCGGTTATCATTTTCAGTTCAACCTGAAAAATGACTTTTCTTGGTCTCACTCCATTCACCAGTTTTTATAATTGAGTCATTCCATTTAGTGATGAATATATGATCTCAATGCAAGAAAATATCTCATGACAATGAGGAGGGTTATTTTTCTTACAATTTTCTGACTAACTGAGAATTATTTACAGGAGGAATTATAGGGCTTGGAGAAGCAGAGGAGGACCGTGTAGGTTTGTTACATACATTGTCAACACTTCCCACCCATCCAGAGAGTGTTCCTATTAATGCACTTGTTGCTGTAAAGGGAACCCCTCTTGAGGATCAGAAGGTGAATTCATTTAACAACTTGAATTGTTGAACTAAACTATTAGCGAAGAAATGTCCGTCATCTTAATGGAGCTTAGTTTTTTTTATCAAGTCTGATAGTTTGAGTCAGGAGGGCACAAATGTGTGATTTTATAGCGCTTGAATTGTGAAAGTAGCCTTCTCTGGAGACACCTTTTATGTAGTGTCTTTCAGGAATTGATGAGAGGATGATAAATCATGTTATACTTGGAATCTTGGATGACTGGTGCTGTTCAAAGATTTATATGACGAAAGCTAGGTTTTATGCCTTTTTTTATGTGGGCCCAGTCAGATATTATTTATTATGATTTTCATTTTCTGTCTTTTTCCCTGACCTTTGAGCATTTTAATGACTATATTTGTATCTTCTGTAGGATCTATAGGATGTATTGCCATTAATATTATTAACTAACTGACATCATTTGGATTGATTTTTGTGTCTTGAATATAAGTTTACCCAAATTAGTGTCATGTTGTTTTGAATTATCTATGTGGGTGAAAGGAATTGATTTATGTGCAATATTTTCAGCCTGTTGAAATATGGGAGATGATTCGCATGATAGCCACAGCACGTATCATAATGCCAAAAGCAATGGTCAGGTTATCAGCTGGCAGAGTTCGGTTCTCCGTACCCGAGCAGGCACTGTGCTTTCTTGCTGGGGCAAATTCTATATTCACTGGTGAAAAGCTTCTCACTACTCCTAACAACGATTTTGATGCTGATCAAAACATGTTTAAAATTCTTGGACTTCTCCCAAAAGCTCCAAGCTTACAAGAAGGTGAAACTAGTGAAACAGAAGATTACAAAGAAGCTGCTTCTTCTAGTTGAGTTGGTCAACGGTTTCAAAAAAATATCCGTCATCCTTCAACTTCTGTAATTGCAAGTTAGCATGCATTTATGTTAGGTTTTATTGAATTCTCTATTCTCAGCTTTGAAGTCATAAACTCCAAAAATTAGCATAAATATTGGAAATATTTATTTTGGAATAACTAGGTTTTTTTCAAGCTTAACTTCAACTAGTGTGAAAAAGCTGTTCTCATAATTGTGTCATTATTCTAAAATGTGCTCTATTATTTTATATTTTATGATTATCGCCTTTTTCTGGTGGTTGTTGGAGATTTAACTAAATGCTCTCTTAAAAGCAAATTACCATTTTCAAAATTTTCGCGAAAAACATTTGTTTCAGTTTACAAATGCCAGACATTTGTACTAGTGTAAATCCGCCGATTGCTGTCAAATATTGTCTTTATACGTCGGCCAAAAATTAAAGTTTCTGTCAGTTGTTAACCCACACAAATGTTTCAGTCTGAAAACAACCCTAATTTGGTGAAGTTTTAAACAATGTTCAGTAGTTTGTTTTTAAAAGAAGAATTATTACAGTAACTAACTTTCAAAATCATGTTTAGTAATTTAAAAGTTGAAGTAGAAATAAATGGTTTTTTTTTTTTATATAGAAGTTTTAAGGGACAACATAATTTCATTATATATAAACACCTAAAACAGTTGAGGAAAAATATATCTTCTTTGTCTATAATCACTCAAGTCGAGATATTATTATCTCTACATTTGTTTAAAGATATTTAATAATTACTAATATTTATTAAATTAATTGTTATTATACCTAATTTTCAAATCTTAAAATTTTGGGTTCAAGTTTTAGATTTTAAGAATAATAATTTGTTTATTATTTAAAAAATTTAAAATAAATTTGTCCAAAAATTATGTACATAAAAAAAATAAAAGAATTGTTTATATATAAATATGAAATCATGATAGCATAATTAGTGAACATAAGTAGTTTCCGCATTTAAAAGGCAGTACCTGTCTTCACTTTGCTTACGATTATATCAAAATATACCAAAATATACGCATAACAAAATATATTCTTTAGTATAAAGAAACATATTGTGATACTACGGATATAATATATGGATTTAAATGATTTCCTATAATTAGTAATTAATAAATTATAACCATTCTGTTGATGTTAACATGTTTCTTACGTGGATGACTTAATATTTATCTAAGGTATAAGGCTATATTAAAATTATAATAGATAATATATCAAATTAATTACCATTTTGCAAAAAAGTGAAAACTAAAGGTTTTGGTTCTCATTACTAAAACCAAAGAAAACTTTTTGACAAGGTAAAAGCACTGTAAAATCTTTTAGACGATGATAAACCACCGGAATGAATTAAGGACTAAAACCTCCAATTTTATAGAACCTGTGACTTAAAACTAGATATAATTATATGATATAAGTGAATATTTAACCGAAAGACTATTTATTGTGAGTTTATAGACATAGCTTGAAAGTGTTAAATATATTTTTATTCAATATTATATAAATTACTTATAATTTTGATACAATAATTAGTATTTTTCTATAAATATTCTATTTTAAGCCTTTTATCATGTATTTTTAAGCCTATAATAAAAAAAATTTATGTATAAAACAATTTGCTAACCATTTTTTATAAAGTCATTAATTAAAAAAAATTATTAACATAATATTTAATGTGCCTGATGTAAGAAATATCGATACTAATTTTCTATTTATTTCTCTCCCCCGAACACTAAAATTGTCTGAACCATAAGGTCAAATAAATGATGAAAAGTTATGATAATATGCAAAAATAATCGTAAGTTTGAACCTTATTACGTACCGATCACAAAACACTAAAAACTGTCTGTTAACCAATGTCTAAATAGGCAGTCTAAACATTAAATATTTCAAATAAAAAAAACATTGAATAAATTTGGTATTTTTAATATAATAAATATTAAAAAAAAACTTTTATTGACACATTACTAAAATTTCAATATATCAATGGTATCATTCAAGCAAATATTTATTTTAGTTCAAATTTCAAACTAATTTTTTAATCAACTAAATTTACTACTAATTTTTATTAATGACATCTTAATCGTAGTTAGCCTAGGAAACTGGTAATTCAATGTAGGCACAAATAGCCAGCATGTATGCGGACTTCCAAAACAGAAAGACATTAAACAAGTTGTGCCGAAGACCAATTGGGTGTGCCAAAAAGTAAAAGAAGCACTATGGTCTTCAAAATAAGATGTGAGATCCTCTATACAGAAAAAGAATAATGATTGTCAATTTCTCACCCGTTACAATTAGACATATGCCTGGGTATATTCTGTGTTCCTAATCTTGCAAACTGGATAAAAGATCAAAAAGGAACTCTTGCAACGAAATCAGTCAGATTTTCTGGCAAGGTAATAGTCTCCCACAGTTAGAAAGACGTGCTCACCAAGAACCACTTCCACAGCAGGTTGCTGTTCAATTGAATCAACAATTTTCTGCAATAACAGGAGATAAAATGAATGTGCATATTTTCACCAAAAACTAAAACAAAGACTTGACTTTTGCTCAATCATTATCAAACCTTTCCATTTCCTTCTTGAAACTCAGACTTCAAATTCAAATGATCCCTCGATAGCAGGTAAGCTTGCAAATTATGTGCACATTTTGCATCACCTGTAACAACTGGGCAGTAAGTCGGAGCAACCAATGATCACAGATGTTGAATAGGTATCAAAGTACTGCTTGTTTCGGCAGGTGCATAAGACGGTAACTGAGAGAAAACAAACCTGTAAACAGTGACTGAATGGCTTCTATGTTAAACATCAATGCAGGTCTCGTCAATGTGATACCAAATGACATGTTGGCTATCCCGTGGAATCTCTCTTCGCCAAGGATAACCTGCAAAACAAGTGCCAGGAGCATCTCAAACCTCATTATTCATATTAATAAAACATAATATATCAGCCAAACCCAACAAGGTCCAAATTAAAAACTCACTGCATGTTCAGGCATCAGAGAATGTGGAAGCAAATGAGAACCAATGGCATCTCTGATGTAGGTTTCCTGCAAAATATACACGACAAAAGAACCAAATTACAAATTTGATATTAGCATGCGAATTTGGTGATGCCAAGAGGCAAATTGAATAATGACCAACAAGTTGTACTTAAGAAGAAACATGGTTCAATTATACCATCACAAAATGCATGGTCAGTTTTTTAAATACAATTTTTTAAGTTCTAGAACCTTTTGTCAACATGTGAATGAAGTACTTTAGAAGGGTAAAATAGAGATAAAGCTTATCTTCTAACTAGGAATTATATTTCAAGTTGTTTCAGCTTCTTTGTGGTGAATTCCAGAGTTATATAGTGGATTCTAGGTTATCTACAAGAATAATTACATGATAGTCATGCTCCCATACAAATGCAAATCTCCTCCCAGGAGCTGACAAAAAATAGTATAATGTACCGTAAATATGATCGGAATTAGTACCACACCAGAAATAGTGATTCTTCAATAAAGATGAAGATTAAAATTTTGATTGTTTTACATGAGAACACTGTCTTGCCTCCTTCCACTGTGATTCAATTTTCTCATTCTAGCTTTCATGTGTCTAACTATTCCCACACCAGAAAAATACTATCTACCAGCCATCTTCAATCTTCAAGACTTTCACAGAATTTCCGTCTTAGTATTGGTAATTCATTTGAAAGATTTTTTGTTGTTATAACAATTTTGAACTTTAGTTGTTCATGTTATTATATTTTATAAATTTAGTTGTTTAACATCCTATTTGAACACATTAAATTTTGTACCTGTATGCTTCAAAATTGAGAATCTTTTTGTTAGATCACTTTTCTTTGGGATAGAAAATAATAAAGATTCCCAGTTGTTGTAAATAGAAATGTTAGTTTAGATCATTAGTTTTTGGATGTTTAAATAGGCCACAAGACATTAATAATCTTTCATGTTATTTTATTCTATAAGTACATAAATCTTTTTATCTTTAGTTCTCACTTAAATTCTGAATATTTAAAAATAATTTAATTGATGGTAGATCAATAGTTTTGTTTGTTTAATTTTTTTCTTCACTAAATTAATTTACATGTTGATAGAATAAGAAATTAAGAATAGAAATTTGTAAAAACAAAGTGGGCTGTCCAGCAATGCTTTACCAAAAAAACACAAGCATAGTATTTCAATGCCATTTATTGATCTCTTAATTCTCTACCTGTGAATGCAAAACTCTCTGAGAGATTGATTTTTCATCATCTAATGATTCAAAGTAAACCTCCACCATGTCGGTTGGCTCAAGAGCAACTTTCTTCCGTAACTTCTGAATCCTGTTCACAATCTGTACATCGAAACCCAAAATAAATCAATTGATTTAACTTAATTTCAAGCCTTAAAAGGTGTAACGAATATTTAAATTGAAGCAAAGCCATGATAAAACAAAACATAGAGATTTTTGTAAGAAATAGCATAAATAAATTGGATTTGGATGTTTGTTCCATTGCATCGGTACACTTCATTGAGACTAAAGAATTTGCTAAAATGTTTCTTCGATGGGAATTATTTTACCTCTCGAGCAGCACCAGCCTCAAACAATGACTCATCAGGGCGCAAGTCCAATATAACTAGAACATCACCTAAAACAAAAAGACAGATGCTCATCATGAAAATTGTCATAAATCATAACTGAATTACTACACCATAGCAATCAGCTTATTTCAAACATTAATCATTTTCATAACTGCAGAAAGGGAAGCTATCATTAGCTATTAAAGATTCTCACCATCTCCAGCAGCATCAACCTCATTCTCAGTCAAACCATCAGGTCGTTTAAAATCACGGAGAACCTGAATAAAAACATAGAGCATAAGGCACTAGTTTACTAGTCCACAGTCTACACTTTAAGGGAAAACCCCATGAAACTGCATCTAGAAATCACCCTTTCACGTGCCTATAAAATCAAAACTGCATCTAATTGTAACTTTATATAGGTAGTCAAATATTAAAGTAAATTATCGGTTTTGGAACAATTTTGACAAGGATATCTGTTTTGGAACAGAGTGCTATTGGAAGGTGTTTTAAAGAAAACCAAAAAATGTTACTGAAGGTTCTCATGAGAGCATTCGGTAAAATTTTAGAATAGGAAAATACCTTTGATGATAACTATGATTTTGTTTGGATAAACTTCTCCATATGCAATAATAAAATAAAAAGAAAAGATAAAATGAATTAAACTTCTCTTATAGGTTAAAATCAACTTATGCACTTCAGCTTTCATAAAAACTCTCTCATCTAACTTCCCCAAACAGGACCTGCACCAATTTCATTGACTCCCCCGACCTGAGAATACTATAACTTCAACAAGTTCAATAAGATTTCCCTCCTCTCCAAGCTAACCATAAAGAAAAGATAATATTTAGTATTTTAGTTATTTATTTTGGTAAAAATCAATGCAAACTAATAAAAAAGGGCAGGGGTCTGCTCAATGAAAATAGTCTTAGTCATCATCCCCACAAGACTAGCACCTTAATATCAGTCAGCTTCAGACAGTGATTTGCAATGGTGACTTCTCCAGCATTCTCAAAAGCCAAAATTTCTTCCTGTGACATTGCTTTTACCTCTTTGGCAACAATGCCCATGGATTTTCCTAGTCTCTTACCTAAAACACTGCAAATAAAAAAAGTAATTAACATTGTGACAGCTATAAAGGACAAACATTCCCAAAAAGTCATTAAATGCATACCTGAATTCAGGCTCGGCACGTAAAGATGCATATTTCAATGTATCATTACATGGAACAAGGGATCGTACATTGAGTTCCTCCAGCACATACTGCAATGCAAATAGAATAAAGTACAATTTGAGTAGAAGCCAAAAACATGACAAGGCTTAACACCACAAATAATCTCTCTAATTATAATTGTTACCATAAAGAAGGTACAAAAATCACATACAAGCAACAAAGCAACTTCATTAAAAATATATATATATAAACAAAGCTTATAATGTGCCATGTTGGTAGTTTTTTCATCAATTTAGTTGTATAACAAACAAATTTTTCATTTGAAATATCAGAAAGAGAGAAACATAATAAATGGACTAAAATGAAGAAAGACTTCTCTCTTCTTTTTATTTTAAGAAAAAATGTGTAAATAATGTTATCCAAGATAAAGACAGTTTGTCTAGTCAGACCTCTAAAGAGGCTGTATATATAATGAGCAAGGTAACAGATTATCATAAGCATCACGGAAAAAGCTATTATTGTATGAATTGATTGTTGACATTAAAAAAATTGTTGAATAAATACTAAAAAGTACATGCATAAACTGTAACAGCTTGTCACATCAAGCAAGTACCTCCTTCAATTTTCCATTTATGTCATCAAGGAAGTCTGCATCAGGATGAACTATAACCATCTCCCTGTAGCAACAAGAAATGATTAAATTCTATTTCTTATATGAAACAAAAAATAGATGTCCTTACAGACATACATGTTCATATTGCACTTTTTTAATGCTACTATAGTACTATACCTTAGTGGAGCCTTAAGAGGCTTGTTGTGGCGCTCGCGGATGTTTCTGGCCAGATCAATTATAGTCATCATCCTAGAAACACTCTGCTCAATTCGGTCTCCCCTCTGATGTAATCATGCAGTTAAATAGAAAGAGATGATATATTAGAAGAATGCCATATATCTTGAATCACAACTTAAGCAAGAACCTGTACTTAAGTTAAACAGCAAAATGCAACACAAAATCCAATTATGCTTTATGGGGAGGGAGAGGTCATGGATGAAGGAGGCATAATAGAGCATATGCCAGGAATTCGATGAACAATACCAATCCAAAGGGTTATTTGCAGACTTCTAACAAGAAATTGTATTACAAAGGACATAATACAAAGAAAAAGGAGGAAAATAAATCATTCTAGAGCAATCTAACAAATAGAAAGGGCTTAAAAAAGGATAACACTTGAGCAACACAAAAAACGAGCACAGACACAGAAAAAAGAATATGTTAGTGTTAGTTTTGAACTTTCACAACTCTATCTTTTGTAGGTGAACTGTAGTATATCATTATAAAAAATAAAAAAAAAATCTGATACAAATCCCAGTTCCCCTGTCAGTTTCCCGAAGAATCAAACCTATACAAATGAACAGACTGAATTATGTATTTCTGTTTGTATATTAAAAGCGAAGATAACTTTGCAAATTTCATACAATACACATGTATAATATAACGTAAGTGTAGTAGTCAAGAATCGATTGCCTAGCAATAAGCACAAGAGATTACTAATTAATGTTTTTTGTTTTTCAATCATTTAACAGTACCAACTATTGGAGACACAATATATATAATAATTATAGGATGTATACCTTTCCTTCTTCTGTAGGAAAACTGCAATAATGTATGCTTTCCTCTGATCCATTACAAACTTTTCTCATATTTTGATAGAGCACCTCAGTGAAGAAAGGTGTAAAAGGAGCCATCACTTTACAGGATAACAAAAGCACCTGAAAGAATTCATACAATCAAGTGTACAACTGTTCTAGCGTAAGGGACCATTATTTTCTGGTCATATTGTAAGTTGTAACCAACCAAGGTATAGATAAAAGATAACACAAATATACATTGTAAAGAGTTGATAGTGCTATCCTGCAGTCTTCTTCCCCAGAACGACCTTTAAGTCTCTTACGGTTGAACCTTACATAAATATTTGTAAGGTTATCAAGAAACTTCAGAAGATAAGGAACCACCTACAATATAATTTTTAATAATGGTAACATTTTAGTAAATACTGTAAATATTACACAAAGCATACCACGAATCTAGCAAATGATGCACCTGAACATAATATAATAGTGCTAGTACATTCTACACACACAAGCAACAAATATGATCATGAAAAGAGAAAACTGCAGACTTTTAGAAGTGCACAAATCTAAATGTAAAAGCAATGACCTAAAAAACAACATTGGAGATTAAATTGGTTGAGGCAACTAATTCACAATTCAACTGGTTTGGTTACCAACAAGATCAGGTATTTTCAAAAAAATGTATATTTAAAAATGGGATGCAAATTAGCTAAAAAAAACCCTAAAACTGTTACACGGCTAATTAAATACATCTAATAACTGAGCATGTGATAGCAAGAATCAAGATATTTTTGTCAGATTCATGGATTATTTCTTTGAATGTGTTATGCACAAAATTAATTAACAAACAATAGACCTTATTTTTTTCCTTTTAAGATAGCTACTTCCCTCTCAAATAATATTAGGTTAAATTGGACATCCTTTTACTTAGGAGGAGTTTAGTGGAAGCAAGCTTTCAATGATCCATCAAATAAAAAATAAAATGTAGTGGCAGGCAATTATGCCCTTCTTTGGTACATTTGGTTGAAGCAAAATGATTTCATCAGTATTGCAGCCACTTGCCTTTTAATGTGTCATTTTAAAAGATTATGTTTATGGTTTCTCTTTTGTGTTCTGTTCACTGCTGTTATAAAGAGAGTTGCCATGTCAATAGATGGCTGCTCATGTTCTGCCCTCATGACTGGCAGCATTGCTGTACTCTTGATATTTCATATTCCTTGTTCTATCTACACATTTTTTGGAGTATATTCTCCCTTGTATTGTACTTCCCATTAATAAAAATCATTTTCTATCCAACAAAAAAAACCACCAGAAGCACTACTGACCGTGTAAAGGCGGTAACCATCCATTTCTTGTCTGACAAAATGAACAAGGCTTTGAGTGGCTGAGTTAATCCACTGATCAAGAACATTCGATGACTTCAGAAGTGTAGCCTGATCAATGGGGACAAAAGGTGCTAGACCTTCAATTTCAAGCCTCTTTGCATTTTGAACAAGGAACCTATATGCATTATACCATGGAAGGAAAACATCCCTAACCTGGATCAAAACACCACAAAAAAATGAAAGTACCATTTAATCAGTAAAAATGAATAAAGTGCTTAGTAGAGATGAAATTAATTGAATAATTTTAAGAAAGATAATGAAAATAAAACCCAGATAGATGATACTGACAACACCATAAACTCCTTCCTTCTTAAAACGAAGTGGCTCAGCACGCACAACAGGAGAGTTGATAAGGTACAATCGCAAGGCATCCTATCCAACACACAATAACAGTTGAGCTGTTTGTATAAACACAAATCCCATACGATGAATTCATGGTCATAATTAGAAACGGCAAGAAAAACAAGTTTCTTGATGTTGCATTCCTCATCCCGAGTAAATTATGAAACCAAAAAATGAACTTCAAAAGTTCTTACTGCTCCATAATCATTAATAACTTCCATTGGTGAAGGATAATTCTTCAAGCTTTTACTCATCTTTTTCCCATCTTCAGCCAGGACAAGTCCATTGCAGATTAGATTCCTAAATGCAGGTTTGCCAAATAATGCAGTAGCCAGCACCATAAGTGTATAAAACCTGGAAAAAAGAAAAGCAGAAAACTAAAATACACAACCATATTTCAAGAGGAAGTTGAGGTCAGGGAAAAAATCATTGGCAAAAATAGAAAAACAGAGAATATAATTTCACAAGATAATTTGGAACTGAAATGATTTAGAGAAATAAAATATAAAACTAACAAAAGTTGTACAAAAGAAAATACCCCCGCCCCCCAGCCAATAAATAAATTTCCCTGGAATGAAATATGTTCAGGATAACATTTCAAAGCCAAAAGTGAATCTACATCTGAAGTAAACAGGTCTGTATCACAAGACCAAGTGTCAAAATAAAGAAACTGACCAACCACGGGTTTGATCCAGCCCTTCAGCAACAAAATGGCCAGGAAAATTCTTCTCAAATAGCTCAACATTTTCAAAAGGATAATGGATATATGCATAGGGCATGGATCCACTCTCAAACCAGCAGTCAAACACCTGAAAGATAAAACAACGGATCCATAACAAAGAATAATGGCTCTATACTCATATTTTTCATTCATAGAATACTGACGAAAAAAATCTCTAGTTTTTACCTTGCTTTCAAAATATTGGTGTATTCACAAAAAAAAAACACTAATGATGGTGTAGACATGATTTTGTTAGTCAATGATATTTCCTATATTTATAAATACTATTTCCTGTTAGAGGCGGTAATTATCAATTGTTCAATTAACCAATGCTATATAGCATTTCCATGACCTGAAATAACATACTCATACTACAAAACCATGATTCAGAGACTATGGATAAGCATTTACATCATCAACACGGCGAAGTACACGGCCACTGTCAGATTTAATTGTAATATGATCAATGTTGTGACGGTGAAGGTCAAACACCTGTTGAAAACATTATGATGGGATTAGTGATACTTATCATTTAGCAAAAGTATTCATAAGCAATAAGAACACAAATAGAACATTCATTTTGAAAACAGAACCTATAATAGTTGAAACATACTAGAATAGAATGAGACATTGGAAAATTAGTACACTATGTCCACAGGATAGACATAAGAATATGTCTAATACATTATGTAAGATTATCTTGTCATACTACAGTTATTTCTATCAATTTCCTGGGGGAAAATGCAATTTAACTGGCCAAATTTGACAAATTTTCATTGAGGTAACATCATGCAAAATCATAAGGCTCAAACAGCAGAATTCTGAAACATACAGGTAGTCCTGAAAAAATCAAGAAAATGTAATGAAAGAAAGAACAAGAAGTCTGAAACTCTCTACAGTAACCCTACTTTACCAGGTCATTGCCTATCTTACATGATGTTTTATGGTCCAACTGATCATGAAAACCAAATATAACATTCAACAAGTGGAAGTTCATTAAGAAGATATCATATAAGGAAACAAATCAGTATTTATATTCTCTAAATGGCTGTGCAATCTTCATGAAATATTTCCATGAAGCAACTAAGGCAAAATTAGTTAAGCATCATGGGCCAAGTACATATCCATTTATCATTTTATTCTTCTAAGAACTTCTACAATCCCATTCCCACATGATGAGTAATTGAGAAGCATTGCAATGAAAATATTTGGATAAAGATACAAAAATCACATCCTTGCATGTTACCAAACTGTACCAAAATAAGCAAATTACACGAGTTTTATATGTGAATTCATGCAAAATAAAATCAATTTGCAGTGACAAATATGACACATGCTTTGTCAGAAAGGTGAACAAAAGACCCTAACCTTTACACCTGAAAGCTTTTCAAGTTTTGCAACAGAATCTATAACAACTATTTCCTTCTCATCCTCACTAATCCATAGAGGGAGAGGTGTCCCCCAAAATCTACTACGACTAATTGCCCAATCTCTTGCATTTTCCAGCCAATTGTGAAATCGTTTGTCCTGCAAAACATATGATATGAATAATAGAAAGATTCACAAAAACATTGATTGCAATTGCATACAATTAAAAGTCTGCTTCCAATGCCATTTTTTGGCTCTATGTTATGGGATATGGACATGTCACATATGGTTGTGTTTATGAGATGAATAATAGAAAGATTTACAAAAAAAACAGATTGCATACAACTTTATTGGAGTATAGTTTTATTCTTAAAAGATTAGTTCCAATGCCATTTTTCCCCCAAGAAGATAAGGAATAGAGTCTTGTTAGTGGCATTCTTTAGGCATTTTGTGTCTGCATATTTCATGGGAATTGAGATATCTTTTCTACATTTATGCACATCATAGGCTTGCTAGTTTCTCTCATTAGGATGATGTCCTTCATATTGTATGCTTCCCCTTACTACATATCAAATATTTATAATTAACAAGTTAATCACAACATATATTAATCCATTTTCAATTATTAAGACAAAGAATTCCAAATAATAATATATTTATATGTTTTTCAAAGAAAATAAATCACCAAAGTGATTATGAAAAAAATTATTCCTCTATGCCCACATAGGCCAACTCTGAAAAAGGGAAGAGAAGAAACAAGATTAAATAATTAAAAAGCAATTGATTAAAACAATCATAAATTCATGTGTTAAGGAAGATACTGTGTACCTTGACAAAATCAGGGACCCAGTAGGTCTGCTTATTGTTTTCCAACAATTGCTCTTTCAACAACTCCACCCTAACAAACCTACAGTGAAGCAGCATAACATCTTAGGCATGCATTAAAATAAAACCAGGCTGAAGGACTGTACCAAGTGCTATTCTTCATCAATTACAGAGAGCGAAAAGAGTTGAAGTAGCTATCAGTGGGAAAGTATCAAGACATGAAAATAGACAAAGAAAATTCAATATCAAAAAAATTTAAATTTAACAGTTGGAAGACAGAGGGAAGGAAATTGCACAACAGAAGCCTTATATAGCTGAGGTCAGCTATATGGATGGCACGATACAATTGGGCTTGGTTACTAACATTCAACGGAGAAGTTACAAAATGTTATTTCCTATTTTAGTGCATTGGGAAGAGGGAATTCCGGTTTGCAAATGTGCAAATGGATATCCAAACATGCACTAAATTCTCAGAGCCATAATTCACCATAAGATCATGCTTAACAATTTCCTCCAATGACCTTCTTAGCCTCCCTCTCATCTTCACAGGGCTTAAAACCCAAGCAATCTACTCCATAGTTATCAAAATCTTACAATTCGTGATTTGAATCTTGCAATTTGATATAATTTGGCCACCTACTAATACATATCTTAAGATGAGTCTAAAATTATTTTGTATCTTAAGATACATGAATGAATCTATAAAATTTTGCATCATCGATACAATTCAACAATTCATTTTTTTCTTTTTTACCTTAGTTTTACCAATTCTCATGAAACATTGAAAAGTTATATTAACTTAAATAGTTAAAAGAAAGGAATTAAAGGAACAACACTGGTTTTTTGGGAGGTTATGTTGCTGAACTGTGAAACCAGCCACTTCTTCTGGCCTTGTGGCTGTTATTATTTGTATCTTTGTTTATATTGAAGCTTATATACAACTATATATCTGTGTATGATTTCATTTTTCATGTGTTTTTTTATGTTAAAATATGGCTAGAGTGCTTTTATATGTCATGTGTGAGTGTGCCATGGTTTTAATGATTACGAATCTTACGATTCAAGATCCAATTCACTTCATGATTCAGAAAATAGGCTTTCCAATACATAAATTATATCCTGATACTTTAATGATTATGAATCTTACTGACCTTTTCATGTGTCCAAACCACCTTAACTGACTTCTTTGCATGTGCACACAATAGTTTTGTATCTTGACCTTTCTTGTATGGTCACACTTCCATCTCAACATTCACTTTTTTTGCCACTGTCACCTTTCTCTCTTGTCCCTTTAGAGCCCAAAATTCACTACTATAGAGTATATTTGGTTGTATAGTAATACGATAAAATTTTCCTTATAGCTTTGTACATACTTTGTGATCATAAATAACTCTTAAAGTCTTTCTCCATTTTAACCATCCAACTCATCTTGTGGGTGACACTTCATTAATTTCCCCGTTATTTTATAGTACTGATCCAGAATATTTAAACTTAGAAACATGTGGTATGACATCTTCTCCCCTTTTTCTTCCAAATCATTTTCCTCTCTTTTCTTGCAAAAATTGCAATGCATATACCATGAAAATTAATTGCAAAACATGACTGACACAGTAAATTCATTGATCCAGAAAACCACACATTTTGATTGTAGAAATGCATATTATTGTTAACATAAATCCTGCATAATTCATCCAAAGAAGAGTTTCACTTAAAACCATGGAAAACATGGATATGTAAGAATAAAACAACTTCAAACATTTTTATTCTGAAAAAATATTACATGGGAAGCTTGAGATCAGAAAGTTGCCTCATTTTTTCTCTCTAAACTTTGTCCTTATTCCAGACAAAGCAAACTAAAAAAGATGGTATATTAGGAGCAAGCCATTATTTTCAAAAACTATTATGAAATCTCAGCAACTCTGTTGCACTCTGAAAGAAATTCAAAGACTATTACTGAACTACTAATGGAGGTTATGAAAACAGTAAGCGCTGATTCATGTTGCAACTATTACAAGGGTTTTTAACACCATTGCAACCCTACACTAGAATCCCATACTTCCAATGTGAGGCTCAAGTTCCATACCTTGCAATTGAATCCTAACAATTATCTAAGTAATAAACATCACATTCTATTCAAAAGGAAACAAAGAAATTCAACATATGAGCACTTACATTTCCTTTTTAGATGAAATGACAAATGCTGGTAAAATCAGAAAATTAAAAGTAAACCACAGCTATTAATATGCCATTTTTGAATGAGAACAAGTGAAATTAAATCTAGCAAGCAAAATTAACTCCTACAGCTACACAAAACTGTCAAGAAAAGTCAAAATCTAGGTCAAACAAGCTTACCAACTTGGAACAGCTCTGTAAATGAGAGGGGTATCAGATCTCCAGCAGTAAGGGTAAGAATGTGTAAAAGCTCCAGACTTAACCAGCCTACCCTTTGCCTAAGGAAAGATAAAAAAGGAAAAGTAATTAAGAAAATCCAATTAAAACAACACTATTCACTCCAACACATCACATAATAAAATTAACTTCTATCAAGTGCTCCCAACTTAAGGTCTAGTTTATATACTTAGTAACTTAGACAATCTGGTAAAAGTGTTCCTTTAGAAGACAAGAAAAAGGAGGATTGGAAGAGAATTCTTGCATAGATGTTGTCCTGTATTTGGTATCAAGTTTATCTTATTTGCCCACATGCACTCTCAGCCAAAGCAACAAGCCTTTTTCTCCTGTTTTATTATTGTACACTCCTCCCAACTAGAGTTAATTCATAATTGTAGTGACAAAACTATTTGGAAAAGAAAAAAAAAGGTAACTTCCACTCAGTCACATGACAAAACTATTTAGATATATGGAGCATACCTTCACAGCTTCAATGATATCTTTGTCAGCATGTTTGATGTAGCACCCGCTAAAGTCAGTAATTTTTTCAGTAAAGCATCCATCATCGTCAACAGCTACAATTAGTTTATCCTACAGGCCAAAATATTTCTTCAGTAACCAAATTAGAAAAGGAAGGTATCCAACAAGAAACAACTAACAAATCTACAAAAGTAACGATAAAACAAATGGAAATCCTAGGGTACCAAAACACTTATCTAGGCACTGAAGCACCTTCAAAATATACAAATAAATAAACAACAAAAATCTCAAAAGTTGTGTACTATCACCAATGTTGCTGCTACAATTAAGTAGCAAAAAGGATAGTCATCACAAAAGATGCAGCATTGCGATGGAAAATAAGAATCTTCAAGTGAGGGTTGAGATAAATAGAAAATGCACCAACACGAATCAATCATCCCTAGGGACAGAGGAAAAATAAACATATCCAGGCTTGCAAATCGATTTATAATATCCATTCCAACTACTACACAGCAAGGAGCTATTCCTTTAGCATTTCAGGAGGGAAAAACTAAAGTTAATTTTTATATAAATTTTAAGTTCTTAAAATTACATACCTTGCTAATAATTTGATTTTCAATGCAAACACGGAAATCATCTTCACCAAAAGCAGGGGCACAATGGACAACACCAGTACCACTATCATCAGTAACATAATTGTCGGCAACAACTCTAAAAGCCGTATCGGATAACTCCATGAAATAATTAAATAATGGTTCATACCTGCAGAACATGTTATCTTATGAGTTTCCGTATTCAATTAAACCCCATATGCAAAATGTCATTAGAAAGTCTTAAAACAGAAAATATAGAGCAATATTTTTTTGGTGAATAATATAAAGTGATATATTCAGAGAGCAAACTAATAAAAAGAATTATTGCAGAAGATGGAAGAACCGCTCACTTTGTCCCCACTAATGATGTTCCTGAGAATTTCTCCAGCACTTCAAAAGAATCCAACACATTTTCCGTTTTTCCACCCGAAGCTCCCTTGCTCTTTGCTTTTGTATTTTTAGGAGCATCATTTGTACTATTAACAACAGCTTCTTTGGGTTTCTCCTTAGGGTTATGAATTGCAGACAAACGAGATTCAGCAACAATATAAACTTTACCCGAGTACTTATTGCGAACCTGATTTCACCAGCTCCAAAAATTAGAGGTCAAGTAACAAGAAAATAAGGAAACAATAGTCAAAACAATGAGTGTGTGTGCACCAAATAAATTAACAAAGGATGTCATTATCAAGTAAACAATCCAAATGTGTTCTAATTTTCAATCCCTAATAATATAAATAAACAAATAGCACTACCTAGTGTAAAATCACATGCACACTTATTCCTAACCCATTATTTTGCACGTAAGTTATTCACTATTCAAGATACTTTAGACACATGGACATAAGTTTATTACAGGGATAAAACAGCTAATCATTCTAGACAAAGGCATATTGAAAGATTGCAATCAAAATCTTCTTAATTCTCAAAAGGAGGATTTGTGAATAATTGGTAGACAAACAATCACAATTCTATTATTCAGACTCGAGTTCTTGCAGAACATGTGAAGCTAACAATTTAAGTCCACTCTATTTCTGTATATATACATATATATAAAATAATGTTCCAATTCAACTAAAACAAGCTTGAATGGTAAAATGAGAAGCCTATTAAGTTCCATAAAAGCTATTATGGCAACAAAGTCAACCAACCTTCACATAGGTAAAATTGTCATTGATGCAGAGAGCAAGATTGCTAGGAAGAGTCCATGGAGTTGTCGTCCATGCTACAAAGGAAGCACCATGTGGATCCCCCACGACTGGAAACGTCATGAATACTTCTGGATCAGACACATCCTGTGCCAACAACATAGAATTTCAGATGCAGATACAATTGCAATAACATATAATACAGTCCTATTTAGATAAAATTCTCCTCGAGCACTTATATAATTGAAGAAAATAAAAAGGTAAAAATTAATTAAGCTTCCCTCGTAAGCTAAAATCAACTTAAGCACTTCAGCTCTTATAGAAACACTCAATTCATAAGTCAATTTTGGCTTATACGATAAACTCAATTGATGTTATCTTCTTATTTTCTTCTTCTCTAAGTGTTCATGGAGAAGTTTATCCAATCAGAATCTAGATACAGTAACAAGCAAGTAAGGCATTGATTGCATGCAATCACCACTGACCTTATAATTCTGACCAGCTTCGAAATTAGAGAGCGGAGTTTTGCAGCCAGTGCTATACGGCATGACCTAGAACAACAACAGCAACAACAACAAAATGCAGCTATTGCTTGTAACCAAAACGAAACGACAAATTGAAGCAGAAATGAAGCGCAATGAGTACCTTGAAGCCTTTATAGACAAGGTTTTTGGCGTACAACTGCGCGAAAACCCACCACACGGACTCCATGAACTTTAAGTCCATGGTCTTGTAATCGTTCTTGAAGTCGATCCACCTTCCGGTACGCGTGATGACGGTCTCCCACTCGGTGACGTAGCGCGTGACGATGCTGCGGCACTCCTCGTTGTACTTGTCGATTCCGAGCTTGAGGACGTCCTCGCGCTTCTTGATGCCGAGCTTCTTGTCGATCTCGTTCTCGACGGGGAGGCCGTGGCAGTCCCAGCCGAAGCGGCGCGTGACGTGGTGGCCGGTCATGGAGTGGTAGCGCGTGACGATGTCCTTGATGGTGCCGGCGAGGATGTGGCCGTAGTGAGGGAGGCCGGTGGCGAAGGGAGGGCCGTCGTAGAAGATGTACTCCGGCTTGTCCTTGGTGAGGGCTAGCTGAGTGTGGAACGCATCGATTTGGGACCAGAAGTCCAGAATCTTCTCCTCCTGCTTCGGGAACGTGAAGTCCTTGCCTTCGCACACGTCGTCCATGCCTCCACACTCCGATTCGATTGTTTGGGATTTGAACGGAGCTATCGAAACGATGAAGACGCAGCGGCGCCAAAAACAGTGAGTAAGTGAGTGAGCTTCGAGTATTGTGTATTGCCAAGGAATCAGGGTTTATGTAACAGTGAAAGTCTACATTCAACCGCTACTGTAATAGTAACCAGGAAATGAGTTGAGTTATGCCAGAAAATAAGATAAAATAATAGGGTTAATGATAGGGTGAGCATTAAACTGACACCCGGACCGAACCCGAAAAATTTGATAAAAAATATTATTTTTGGATGGGTTTGGGTGGGTCTTATGGGTAAATCGGGTTAAAATTTTGATTTTATACGGGTTATATTGGGCGGGTTCGGTTTTGAATTTTTAAACCCGCCAAAAACCGAACCTAACCGAAAATGAGATAAGTTTAAATTTTTATTACTTTTGTATAACTAAACAACAATGGTCCAAACTTAAAAGTCTTTATTTCAAGTATAATATAGCCATCAATTTGTAACTTATTTTTTTCCTTTTTCTCATAACTTAGATATTTATTTTGTCTTCTCCTTCCTCATTCAACTTCTCAACACACTAGTCCATTTTTAGAGTTATCTTTTTGCTTCTTTCTTTGTCTTTCTTTTCCATCTTCTTATCTCCATTTTGAGTACATTTTGTGTGACTGTGATTTCTTATGATTTTGTAATCTAACTTTATATTTCTTTTCCATGTAACAACTATGAATTTTGTTATCTTTTATTTTTGCTTCTTTAGTTTGTAAATGTTTCAACTACGAATCTACTTACACCATCTATTGTCACCTTCATTCTATTTTTATACACTATTTTAAAAATATTTTTTTATCGTTTTAAGCTTCATCTTCCTTAAGATAAATTGGTTTACAAAAAAATTCAAACCCGATTATACCCACCTGCTTAAATCTGAATCCGTTTCAACCCGAACCGCCTCAAATCGAAAGCTCAGTCGGTCGGATATGGGTCACATTTTTTCAAAGTCGGTTTACAATGGGTTGGACATTTTTCACCCGAACCCGACCAAACCCACCCGTTGCTCACCCCTAGTTAATCATTTTACATTTTTATTTCTGAAATGTTTTTTCGATTTTATTTACCAAGTCTTGTTTTAGATTTTTATTTATGGAAATATGTCGTATGTAATTTTATTATTTTTATCCAAAGGAATCAGGAAAATTATTTTTAAAGACAATAGTCACACTTATTATATTTTCATAAATAATCGATCAAAAGAAGAAAATTTTGTTTCAGGAAATTATAAATAGATCTTTCAATATTTATAGAAACTGAAAATATATTTAACTCCTAAAATCCGGACAAAAATTTAAACGAAAGTCAGTTTATAATTTATATATACATTCATAGATACATACATATCTTTTTTATACATTAGGATTACAAAAACAATTACTAGTATCACACTTAATATATTTTCATCAATAATGAATCAAAAGAAGACAATTTTGAGTTTAAAAGACTGAATAAAAATATTTTAATATTTATAGAAACTGAAAATATATTTTATCCCATACAATAAATTGGCATTTCTATTAAAGTGTGTATTCGGACAAAAAAACAGGTACGAGATACGATATATGTATACATTCATAGATACGTACATAATTTGTCTTAAAAAAAATATGTAAAGTGATCAAAAGTATAACTAAATTTAATGGAGTGTACAAGATTTTACAATGTTAATCAATTAAAAAATATATTTTCAATAGCTTTTAAAATAACTACTATTAAAGTTACCAAATTTATTATATACGGTAAATTATGACTAGATGTCAATATTAAGATCTTTATAACTAAATCTTAACTAATTTCACCTCATTTAATAAAATTATTTCCAAATCAGCAATTGTCTAATTGAAATTGTATTTTTAATGACCTACTTCATTATTAATGAAAAATAACTTAAGTAAAAGTATGCTTTTTTAAATAAAATTATATAATAAATAAATAATGGTAACTAACTTTTTAATTAGAGTGAATTATTATTTTTTATTTATATTCAAAATAAAAAATAGTACATATCAATAAAATAATACATGCAAAACAATATTATATATATAAAGTAAACTCATAAAGCATTGTGTTTATTTATAATTTTTTATTTTTTTATTTTTTATTTTCACTTTTTATTAACAAAATTGTCATTTTGTTTTTCAATAAGTTTCTTGTTTTTCAAGATTTGTATAGAAATAGAGGAAACAAGCTTGGAATCTTCAAATTAGACAGTGCGAGACAATGATGAGGAACGATGGTTTTGAAAAGTTGAAAAACTACAATTGAAAAAATAAGAATTTTCAAAATTATGCTGAACGGATATAACATACTTCACATCCCTGCAATAACTAACTAAAGTTGCAAACTTGCAATACAACATTCATTTGCAAAAGTAAGGATAAGGAAAAAAATAGCAATCAGGAGCTCTCTCCAAGGAGTGATGAATCCTAACATCCGTGAGCAAAATTTTCTACAGCTATTAGTCATTGAAATTCAAACGTTGATTACATCACAGGTGATGCAGTACAAGACAAACGAATTTCAACATGTTATTGAGGAATGCTTAATTCCATACAAAAATGACCATCCAGAGAAAGATAGTTGTAGTATCAACGCTTGACCCATTGGAAACTTTTTCTTGCTTTGGCCTTTCCAGGCTTTTTCCTTTCTACCACTCGTGAGTCCCTTGTCAGGAAACCAGCTGATCAAGATTCAAGAAAAAAACTAGATCAGTAAATCATCATAGCAGCAGATATAAAATCCAGCCACAAGTAAAAGACTAATTAACATGGATCCCCACTTGGGAAGTTTGGTATGAGAAATGATGAATCAAGAGTTTCATAATATGGCAGGCCAAAAAAATTGTAGCAAAGAAAATGAACAGAGAAAAAACGGTTATACCATTTCTAAGTGCAGGCCGCAAATCTGGTTCCCAGTTTTGCAAAGCCTTGCTGATCCCCAATCGTATAGCTCCAACTTGCCCTGTTGTCACGAAACATCTTTCATTGATACAAATATGAATGATAGCTAAACATTGAACTTTGACAAGGCAAGTGATTCTGTCCAACTTCCATTACTCACAATTTCCTCCATGTAGGATTGTCAGAGGAAGTTGAATAGAAGTGCCTATTGGGAGATTTAACAAAGTTCAAGCATTAACTGTCAAACTTAAAGGTTCAAGCTGTGATTAGCTAAAGGACCAAAAGTAAAACAGAATGCATTTTGCCCTAAATAAAACCAGAAAAGAAAAAGACACAAATGGAAATGAAAATATAACAATGTTATAGAATTGCCTACTTTTCGTATTAGTGAAAGGTGTAGTCATGTAGCACATACAAATAATTCAGTTAATAAACATTTTTTTCTTTATAACTTGCATCAACACAGATATTACTTACCAAAAAAAAGAACACACATCTTCCTGCCTGGTCGAATCAAAAATTAAAGCAAGCTCAAAATTTATATTGCAAAGGTCACTTTAGTTTTCTTAGTAGGTGAAGTTGGCGGCTACATGGATCAAACAACACCATAATGTTCTATTGTAAATCATATTTATAGACAAACCAATGATTCTAAAAAAAAACTTAATGATTTCACCTATAATTTTTCTCTATCTCCCTTTGCCTCTAGCTACTGGATTACCCTCCATCTAATCTACTTTCCTAGAACATTATAGGTTTTTTCCACATACCATCTTTGTCCATTTTAACAAATACATGGGATTCTTTATACAGTATCCCAATATTTAAAAGAAAAGAAGATGGCTAAGAAGTTGGCTCATGTGTTATTGGACATAAACCAGTATATCGCTACAACACATAAGTGTGGATAAGCTCTCTATATCTAATAATAAAATATGTATTTGAAAATTTCAAAAACAATATTTTTAAGCATAAAGTATGCATGCCCTGTAGGCAGACAGGACACCAGATGTTCCACAAACTCTAACAAACATTTGCAAACTAAAAGTAGACATTCTTCAGTTAAAAGAATTAAGATTATCATGTAATGAAAGATGCTAATCATGGGAATTCAAATATAGAAACTAACTAAAAGTAATTAACTTTAACCTCACCTGAAACACCACCTCCTTTCACGGTACAATTGACGTCCCACAGCCCCAAAGTCTTTGTCTCGGAGAAAGGTCGAAGCAGAGTGGCACGATGATCAAGCATAGGGAAATACACATCAAACTCTTTATCGTTAACTAAAAATTTACCATTACCAGGCTGAACCCAGACTCGTGCAACACTGCATTTTCTTCTTCCTGTACCGTAAGCACGTCCTTTCTCATCAACTTGCTTCACTCTAGCTTTTGCAGCTTCCTCTTGCTTCAGACGCTCCATTTCAGCTCTAGTGGATTTTCTAGTATTTTTCTCATATCGCATGTCTTCAATTACACTAAGAGGGGGCAACCCATCAACCCCATCAAAGTCTTTCAACGCAATCAAACTGTCAAGCATTTCATCTGTGATCCCAGATGCAGCAATCAAATCACCAAATGCACGTTTTGGGCCTGCAACGACAATAGAGAAATAGCATCACTTATCTTGATAGAGATCTAAACTCCAAATACACAAAAATAGTCAACATTCCAAAGTAAATCATCCACACACACACATCCTGAATACACCCTTGGAATATAAGACCAACGTATGAGAAAAATCAGAACCTGGTGCCCTAGTCTCTTTTTATCAAATGCCCAGGCTTAGCATTCAAAAAATAGCATTAAATATAACATGCTCAAAATGCCATGGATAGATAACACATGCTGTGGTATCTAAAGGTCTTTTTCACTGTCATGAGTGTCACCAAATCATAAACAGACATGTATAATCAGTTTCATGACTCCAACAATAATTATCTTAAAATTCATGCTAAAGACAGTTTTTGATTGATTGTCAGTATAAAGGTTTTTACACCGATAGTGCATAACTACATGCCTATTAAACACTCACCAATAAATCCATAAAAACCAATGATATATTATGATATCAGTTCAAACCTCGCAAGAACTATATTGATAAGGAACTTGAGCTATAAGTTATTTTGATAGCTTCTCTACCGAAAAAAAAAAAAGAACCTTTTATTTTAAGTAGAGAAGTTCTAAGAACTCTATTTTTTTTTTCGTTCATTGACAAGGAGTATCTCCATCAAACACGGGAACTAATTCCCAAGTATCACTGATATAAAATAGATGAACATCTCCTCCCAGCTAGAGCTCACTGGCCACTGCATATACATACAGATTAAATGTTATTGAGAAACAAAACAAAGGGGGGTTAAAGGCTAACCTTTAACAACAGCAGTGAGAGCTTGCTCTTCCTTCTCAAGCTGTTCAACATCCACTTTAGGCTTAATATCCAAAGCAGTGAAGTCCCCTTCAAGGCCCACATCCTCCTCTTTGAAATTAAACACATCCTCCTTCTCCTCTTCCTCACCCTTCAAGCTCCAAGGTTTGAAATCCCCTCCAAAATTGCTCTCATCAAAACCACCACCACCAACAACCGTGTCTCCACTTTCCTCTTCGATCCCTTTAAATATGGCATCCTCGTCTTTGTCATCGAGACCCTTCTCTTGCAACCACCCCTGATCCTCTTCCAGCCACCCCCGTTCTTCCCTCCTCCCACCGTCTTCCTTCACTCCGGCGAGGCTTCCGCCCTCCACCTCCTCCTCGAAGAAAGCGTCCAACTTTTCCTCGTTCTCCCGGAAATCCTTCCACACACGGGAGGAAAAGGGGTCCTTTCCATCGCCGCTGTCGCCGCCGCCGGTGGAGAAGTGCTTCGGAACGATGGCGGAGAAGTGGGGCGCGGCGGGGAATTGGGGCGGCTTCAACGGAAGGGAGAGGAAGCGACGGAAATGATAGGGTTTGGGGATTAGACGAGAAAGCATGGTGATCGAAACGGTGACTGTGAAGTTGTTTTATAGAGTGATGGTGTCATTCATTCGTGCTTTACGAAATATTAGAGTCGCCGGAGAGATGACGGTGGCGATCGGAGGTTGTGGAGAGTGAGTGAGTATGTAACAGGCAGGGGCTGCAGAAGCTACTAAGCTTATTAGGTTTACAGAACCAGAGCCCAAACGTCGTCGTTTCATGAAATGGTTAAAGTGGTTTATTGCTTTGTTGTTCAAACAGAAGGGTTAAAAATATTTATTAAAAGTTTTTTTTATTTTATATTTTTTTTACTTAAGACATTTGATGAGTAGATACTTTTATTTTATATTTTTTTTTATTTACTCCGAAAGTGAATTCCCACTTTTCAAAGCACAAAAATAAGAAACAAGAATTTGTAATTTCTAAATTGAAATGGGTTTGGAAGACTTCTAACGTCATCCCAAACATGTCCATAGTGTTTGAAAAAACGTTGGTTTCAATTTAATCTACATTTTTTTTTAATTTATAAGTATAGTTGCTTTGTCATATTAAAATGTGTAAAAATCTATTTTAAAATATCTAAATGTGAAATCAAGCATGTTCATAATTATTAAAATTTAAATAAAAAAAACATGTAGAAATTATCATTGGTCCTTCTAAACTCATTTTTAGTCCTCCGATTTATTTTATTAAATTATTTTTCTTAAAAATGAAATATATTAATATTATTATAATAAATATTATATATAATGACATACAAAAATTGTCACTATAAATACAATATATATAGATATATATCTATTTGATATATAATTATACATAATTTTAGTGTTAATTTTTAAAAAAAATTAATAACATATTTTGTCTGTCATTATAGTTTATATATCAACTTTTTAACAATATATCAATATATATTATACTTATTATATGAATAAAAATAATTTTTAGTAACATGTATAGTATCATCATAAGATATGTTACTACATGATAATTTTTTTATAGTATATTGATCTTTGTTTGTTAAAATATATGTACGAAGTCAATTTTTTTAAAAGTACAAATAACAACTAACATTAAAATAATTTATTTTTATTAAGACCAATTTTATAATAAAAAAAACTAAAGAACTAAAATAAATTTTAAAAATTTAGAAAGATTATAAATACTTTTAACACCTTAAAAGATTATTACTTTTTTTATTATTAAGAAATATCTCAGGTAAGCGTGGAAACTAATGTCTTTTGTACTTTATGTAAGTGTTTAGTACATATAGACATTTCTTAGTATTTATAATTTATTGGTATAAAAAAAATTAGATATTAGATTTTTATGATATATTTGATGTTTGCCTGACATAAATTAACTTTTCTTTCAAATTTTACTATTCTTTGAATCTATGTAAATTTAATTATATTTTTCATTAATCTCATGTCAATTTTTTTCATTTTTATAAGAGAAATCAAGTTTTTAATATTTTTTTAATTTTCTTTTTTGTTGTTGGGCTACAGACTAACCCGTTAGCCCTCACGCAAAGTGGGTTGGACATAAACTAGACAAAAATGTAATATATAGCTTTTTTTTTTAAGTGTTGAATAGTTTTGAAGCTTTATAAAAAAATCTATACTCGTGTACACTTTGTAGTAAATAACACTTTTTTTTTTTGCAATTATTTATTTATAAATTGTTAAGTTTATAAATATAAGTATTTCTCTAAAATATCTATTTATTATTATAGTATAAAAGTTAAACTACGAGTTATTATGATGAGATGTTACTATAAAATTTATCATACACATTATCATATTAGCGTATTTGCTTATGTGTTAACTCTTCTACATTTCGTCACATTTCTTATATAAACTTCAAAACCAATAGAAACTTCATTCTTATTCCATAATCACATAAAGGGACACTTCATTCTTATTCCATAATCACCTCTATATATCTAATCTTTTTTATATATCATATCAGTGTATTTGTTCATGTATCAATCATTTCTTATCTCCTCATATTTCTCATATAAACTTCAAAACTAATAGACACCTCATTCTTATTCTATAGTTATCTTTATATATCTAACTTCCTTTTACTCTTATACATAACTTTCTTTCTCTATGTATTAATTTGTTTTTTTTCCTTTTGTCATTTTATTTACATAGGAAGAAGATAATTCATTGAAGAAGTCAAAGAAATTGTCATAAAAGAAAATTACATTTTTAGTCTAAGAATCCTAAAACACCAACTAATAAAAGAGAGGAATGTTAAAGGGACAACAAGTGTCATTGCTTTTGCTTTTCTCTAATTTTTCATTTTCTTCCATATTTAATTCTAAACCACAATTTCCATCTTATGTTGCAATTCTCATTAAAAATTGAAAATAATATTCATTCTTTTACTTATTTCAAAAAATAATATTTGTCATCCGTTTTCATGAATGTTTTGAATAATAATTATTGTTTGTTGTCATAATCTTAATATTTATTGTACTCAAGTAGTATTAGTTTTTCTTCTTTCATAAATAATTTAAATTGGAGTTCTTATCTTACTTAGTAATTCTCTTAAGAAATTAAAATTAATTTTCATTCCTTTTTTTTATTTCATAAGATTAACTTGTCAAAATATAAATAATATTTATTTTTCTTTCTCATTAATTATCTGATTTGTTATTCTCATTTGTTGTCACGATCATCATCAAAGACACAAAGTTGTTTAAAAATTGAAAAGGAAGAAAGACATTATTTTTATATTTTTCTATTGCATTGCAAAAATATACTATAGATATGTTAATAAATTATTTATATTTTTCTTACATTTGAATTATGTATTACTTTTGAAATTCACAGTAAAATTACAATTTTTTGTATTACTTTAATATTTTTGTCTTACATATCCGTAACAAATTCAAACTATTTTTACATAATTATCTACAATCAATCACACTTAATTAATTTAATAAATTTTTTTACAAGAATAACAATTATATTGTAACTAATATTCAATTTACAGTTAATAATAATTAATTATAAATGGGATTTATATAATTATATTTTATAATTAATTAAATTATATCATTATACTATTTAACCTAAAAAATTAATTATTGTTTACTTTTAACTATATTTAATTTGAAAAATAATCAGTGATATATTAACAAATTATATATTTTATTGTTTTTTAACTATTATATTAAAAATTATTATTTAAAATTCATTGTAGAATTATAATATTTTTATCACTTAATTTTTTTTATCTTACATATTCTTAACAAATTTAAACTAATTTTGTATATTTAAGTACAACCATTTACGTTTGGTTCAATAAAATTTAGTACAAAAATAATAATTATATTATAATCCATATTAAATTAACACTCAATGATAGTTAATTATAAATTCAAAATTTATAATTAAATATTAATTAACTAAATTTATACTATGTATCCCAAAAATAATTATATAATTTGTTTTAATTATAAATAATTGTACTTTTATTAGATTGTATAATATGTGATATTTATTTCACACTTAATTTTAATTAATGATATAAACAATTATTCATTATACATAATTATATTATAATAGTATTAACCTTTTTTTATCTTATTCATTCTTATTTTCTTTTTACATATTTTATAAATGATAAATTCAAACTAATTTTTTATATACATATTTTAGTATAATAATCTGCATATAATTTAATAAAATTAATTACAATAATAATTGTTATATTATAAAGTTAAAACCTAATTCTAATTAATTTAAAAAATCCTATAATTAAATATCAATCAATTTAATTATACGAATAACTGTTAATTTTATAATATAGCTTACTCGTATATTTGAAAAATAATGTTCTTTCATGTATTAAAACTTTTTATAACAAAAACATGTTTAAAAAGAATTTTCTAAAAGATATAAAATATCTAAAAAAAGAAATATAATATTGATAATTATGCTAAAAAGATTAAATGTTAGATTATTATTTTAAATAGCTTTTCAATGCAAAATTTTTAAAATAAATATTAATAGAAGAAATTATATTTAAATTAACACATTAAATTAAAAAATTATATATTTAATATACTTTTTTAATTAGATAAAATTTAGACAAATCACTTAATCACTTTATTTACCAGTGCATTGCATGGGTCAATATGTAGTTAATCTAAACATGCACAAGATAGTTTAGCAATTGAAAGTTGAAGGCTAAATTGTACTTTTGATCTTTTATTTTTATTAATCTATAATTTTGGTTCTTTCATTTTAAAATAAAGATATCTTGTTCTACTATTTTTAAAAATATAATTTTTTTGTCTTATCATCAATTTAATGTTTGTTAATTGTTAAATTTTGATATTATTTAGTAATATATCACCAATTAAGTAATGTAATATATAATGACGTGATATGCAAAGATAAAAATTAAAAATAACATATAACAAAATATTAATTTATGTATATTTTAACAAGTGATTAATATTTATTTTATTCATTAATTTTATTTGCAAGATATTTTTAATATTTCTTTATTTTCAAATGTCATATTACTAAATGATACGTCATGAATACACATTAAAACTTAACAATTAATAGGTATCAATTTAACGGAAAGACTAAAATATCGTACTTTTTTAATTAAAAAAATTAAATATTTCTATTTTAAAATAGAGAGATTAAAATTATTATTTGACAAAAAATAGAAGGATTAAAAATGTAATTTAATCAAAATTAAAATAACATGTATAGGTTATTCGATTCAAATTTTGTAGTAATTATAATTCACACTAAAAAAAAATCTAAACATGCATTTAAGGCTATATTATCTATACTTTTAATTTATTTTAAATGTTATGTTACAAACAGCTCATCTGATCTCCCCGGGCCTATATTATCTACACTACCTATTTCAGCCTCAGGAGGAGGTAAGTTGTTAACTAGAATGTCTACATGTACATCAAGTGCTTCTGGCAGATACTATTATGATGATGCTAGTGCAATCCAATAATTTTCCAAGCATAAACTGTTTGGAGTGCCAATGATCCGTGACCAAGTCCATTCTGTCTCCTCTACAAGTTGCAATTCTGCCAACTGCCATAAGTCATGATGTTAGCTATATAACTGTTTATGTGTATAAATTTTAGCACCATACCACAACTCCTTTTCAGTTTTCAGTATCTTTGCTTCTGGCAGACTTTGAATTAGCAAATTTGAAAAGGGCATTGGCAAAAGAGGTGAATTTCAAGAAGTCCAGTTATATTGTATGCTACAAGTTTCCAGCAGACAGTGATGAAAGAAGTTTGACAAATGTTAACTTAAAATGCATAGACCTAACTGAATCTTTGTAGCACTGACGGAGTGGTGTTTTAGTGTTCAGTAAGAAATAGTATCTTTATTCCCGTATACAAAATTCAATCACCTACTTCATTAAGATTAAAAAAATAATTAATTTAGTTGATAATAATAAATTTATCTTATTTATATTTTTTTTCTTCTAAAATTACTCTTATACTATTTTTTTTAATTAACATTCAAATATCTTTTAACTAATTAGAGGCTCATACTATTTCTTTCTCTTATTTAATATTTATTTTTTTTAACTAATTAGAATGCATATTCTTTAAATAATTTATAATTAATATATTTTATCAAATTAAGATAACACACTTTAATTAAAAATATTTTAATATAAAAATAATTAATATATGAGATAATATGAATTAAATCTTATATAAAACAATTATTCTAAGTTAGTTCATATAAATAAGAACGAATGTAGTATTTAATTAAATTTCAGCTTACTCCAGATCAAGTATAAGATTTAATATTTTACATCTGGATTGGATCCAAATGATCACATCCTTCCTCCAAGTTTTTCTTCTAAACAAAGATTCTTATTACTTTTAAAAGAATGGTTCATGTGGTTATATATATAATAAGTTTTCCATCAGATAATTGGAAATGTCAGTGAGCTAAGGTACTTACCCTTCCATCTCTGAGCTCAAATATTACAGAACCTTCAGAAAATGGAATTGGTCTCGTGGATGCCACCTGTGTTGTATAAGATTCAAAGTGAATTCTATGTCATTTATTTTTTGTTTTCCAAGTACAATTATGTCATTTTTAACCAACCAGTTACTATAGACTAATATTTACCTTTGTTTCACAATTTAAGTGATGGTCAGCGAGGTTATCTTGGTCCTTATTCAAGCCAGATGCACAATTTTCATCAATCTGAACTGCTTTCTCCACATTGCCTTCACTATGTGTTTCAACATTTTTTTCTCCCATAGAGGGGAAACCACAGTCCTTCCACTTCCATGCATTTTTGTCCATGTATCTCAGGTATACTTTTCCATCTGAACCAATCAAAAGTAGTTGATTGCCTTCAAAGCTAGGACCAGGTGAACCAACCAGTGTTACACCTTTATAGGGTGTTCCATGTTCTATCCAGTTCCATCCGTACCAAGTATTCCACTGGTACTCAACAAGGCCACCTTCTGTTGATAGCATGAAGAGAGAGCCTGAGAGTGACTTTGTTGATGGCCTTATAATTGTTCCAGGAAACTGTGATAAAATCAAATGTTGAGACTGGTAATGCTCATGCCACAAATCAGTCACTTTGTTATACTGGTATAGTCGACCATTTCTTCCAGTGACGAAGACTATATTTTCCCTGAACAATTCCTGGTCAACTATACTTGCAACTTTAACATTTTGAGGATTTTTGCAATCTTTCCATTTAAACTTCCTCATGTACACCTGGGTGGAACATGTAAATATTTACATCATATCTTAGCTCGTGTAGCAGTAGTTGATGTCTAAATAGTTTATTCATATTGTATGCATGTGCGTTTGGTAAATAAAACATTATATTCAACTAAATATATATGAATACATGAAGTTGATGATGAGATGAATGTCACTTAATTTAAGTAACTATTTCATTTATGTTTGTTGCTTTCTTTTGTAAAGTGATAAGTTTCTAAAGGACAAATTCTCAAAGGTTCAAAGGACAGAATTACCAATGTTAAGACACAAACTTCAGAAATTAAGGAAGTATTATCATCTATTTGTTAAGAGGCATAAAATCATTGATGTGTCTTTACCTAACACCTTAAGCGTTTTGATGTGTTATTCCTTCACATTTTTAGCAAGCCTTGTCTCTTAAGTATTCTAACTTCTAAGCAACTAAAAAGTAGATAGGTTATACCTACCATGAACTGCATTAATCTGCCACTTTGGCTCACAAAGAAGATTGAGTCTTCGGTTGTAACCCTCTTTGCTTTACCTGGTAATCTATCCCATGGTTGACCTGCAACAATGTTTCTTCCTTTCCTCATAGCAGTACAATTCCTCCATGCTATCTCATTATCACTCCATTCTCTAAGGAGCAAACTCCCAAATGTATTAACCATGAATAAACTTCCATTATAGTTCCCCACTATACCATTCATAGCAGTGGAGCTATCATGCCTCAACCATACCCATACACTCTCAATACAAACGTATTCAAAAACCAAACCATCATCGTTTATTAAGAAAAGTGACTTGCCTTCATACATCAACCGTAAGCGAAAGTTTCTACTAATCCAGTCATCTGGCATATTATATTCTTCTGAAGACTTGTTCAGTTCACCACCTGTGCCTAGAGACAAGTAATAATGCTGTGCTTGGCTTTGCTTTCTCCTACCTGTTGCTGAACTTATTCCTGAATCAGTTGAGTCATCTTTTGTGCCTGTCATGCAATTCCGGGGGCCGCGTTCTTCTGTGCAATATTCTGCATTCCATCCTTCACTCTCTGGAACATCTAATATAGTCCAAACATATTTAGTTGATGCTTTCCTTCTGAAGTTTTGTGGTGCTGTTGGTCCTGAACTTTCACCACCTAGTCCTACTAGATGCAATTCTGCCAGTCTACCATCGTCTAGTGCAAACAGTATCCTCCCAACTTGTAATGGTAAGCCAGCTACACCTCTTGCTGCTTTTGCATGTAAGGGATTCTCATGACTTCCCCATGCTCCTGGAAACTGATTATTCGGAACAGTGCCTGTTTTCATGTGAGAATTCAATGTCTAGAATGGAGTATTCAGATTGAGAACTCTATTGTTGGCAAGTACTTGGTACATGAATAGTTTGAGTCATATAGAAATAGTATTCTATATCTTATTCTCTATTATCACTTTATTCTACAATTACATATATGGCTTTCAATGAGAGAATATAATTGCAAATACTAGTTATTCTTGTGAGTAGGAAATATCAAGAATAGTGTTTACTGATGTTCAAGTAAAGAATCTGATCCACAAATAATCTCGTTAGTCTTTTGAGCTGCTTGTGTATATCCTGGAATAATCTTTCATTTTATTGACAGATTAAGAATTATGATAAGAGTTAACTATTAATTTATTACTCTTGGTTCTTAATTATCAAACAACTGGAGCGTAGCGTAAGAGACACTATTAAAGATGGCAGGAAATGATAATTGTGTATTTGTATTTAGTAAAAGGAGAAACAGTCTTTCACTAATCTACACTTTTGCTTTTACTAACTCGTGAGTCGTGACATTTCAGTTTTTCACTTTGATCATACATAAATAACATTTCAGTTCGATAAAATGTTAGTCCTTAGTTATATAACTTTTTGGAAAGTAATGTACTGTTATGAGTAATAAATATTTAAGATGCTTCCTAGTAAAGAGGGCATGCATGTAGGACAAAATTAGAACATTATGTCTCACAAACTCTTATTATGTATTGATAGATAAAGAACGAAACTGAAAATTCGTAATGGTAAAGTTCATATGCAGTGAAAGCAAGATATTCATAACATCATAAAAGGCTAAAAGCAAATAACAATAATTGAGAAAGTTAAATATATTTAGCACAATTGGATGACTGACCTAATTGTTTGGGCATTTGATATTCAAAAACAGATCCAGCTGAAGTAGTAAAGAATAAAGAAATGAATGTTTCACTTGATTCATCTTGCAAAGCAGGTGTAGTAGACGTCAAATTTTGATGTTCAGGACTTCCATGAACTACCCATTTCCACTTCCTTTGATGTAATCTTCTTTCAACCAAAGTGCCTTCCTGTATAAGCAACTCATATGCTCCCATTTTTAATAATATTCCGGCTAAAAGCATACGAGTGCTGTATCAAATAATTTTGAAAAATGTGATTTCCAAGACAAGAATAATTTCTGAAACAGCCTTTGCCAAGTTACACAAGCTCAAGTGTTTTACAAAGTTGATTGGAACCATGGTTTATTAAAAAAAAACTAGTTTCTCCCTCAATCACTTTCTCCTTTGACATCATTTCATTGGATCATCAACTTGAGAGTTATCATTCACCACTAGCTTCCTAATTACTACCCTTACTGAGCTAAAAAAGATTTGCACTCATTATGACAATGGTAGATATGCTTATAAAAATTAAGATACTTTTATTTACATACCTTGGTTAAAAGAAACAGAGATTCAGAATGATCACCACTTAATCCATGTAAAATGCACCCTTTAGATGGTACCAAAGGTGCAACTTGTGCTTTTTTTTCTTTCCATATGTGCCTCTTCCACGACGGTTTAGATTTTCGATCATATTCATAAAGATCTCCAGCAGAACTACATCATCACATCATAACTTGAACTTGTTAGACTATAAGAAGGTGAAGAAAAAATACATTTTAACCTTGTTTTGTATGCTTTCTTTAGTGTTTTATTGGCGATCAACGTGTTTGAAGCAAAATACATATCACACACCTTATGGTGTATACTACTTCTCGTGTAGAAGCAACAGCAGCTATTGCTGCAACATTTGCTCCAGCTGGTTGGCCATGATTTGTCCATCTGTTCTATATATATTGGCAAAATATGACCGAAATTAGTAATATTTGCTTAGGATTGAACTTCTTAAATACGAATATGTGCTCCAAAACTTGAGTTTTACCTTGGAGACTCAACCACAGCAAGTTCTACCAGTGTTCCATTCTTTGTACAGAAGTAACCTCTTCTGGGGACAATTCAACAACACAGACGAGGCATTAAGAGATCTTGATAGGTTTGAGTAATCATGGAACTCAAATATACCCTTGTGTTATATATCATACATGTTTCATCTCAGAAACTAAAATTTAAATGTGTACTCACTGGCCATCATCTGACACCACGCCAGACTTCATTAATATCAAAGGATTGTTCTCCTGATCATTATCTGTGATTTGATTGAGTGTAGGTGAGAATTCAACCCAAATAGGTTGTTGAGTTTCTCCAAGTTGCAGATGCATCTGCTAAGAAAAACATAATCAGTAAAAACTTGCACAATACCAATCAAGTGCAGAATCAAATCATATTAGTTGATTTAAATTACATGCTAACTCTGCCAAGGTATATGCATGTATTGTTTAACATGTATCTATTGGGAAAAATCCAACTACAACGTTGAACAAAGATAAGGTCAAAATAAAATATATTAGTCTCCACTTGTATATTCTATCTTGTTCTTATATATAGTTGATGTGAAATTTATGTTTTTTTTCAATAGTATCTGAATTGAAGAGTGGATATTTTGAATGAAATGGAATTTAGAGAAGTAATATGTATGACCTGATATAGATTTCCTGCTTCAGATAGAGCAAGAATCATGTGATTGATGATAAAAACTGCAACTGCACGTCCTGCTGATATTGGCAAGTCATGAGGGGCAGTCACCCATTCTAGTCCATTCCAAAACCTCTCATAGATAGACCCACTTTCACCAGTGACCCACACAGATGTCTCAGACATTTTGGTCAATGAAATTCTCTTTCTCAGAGGCATCAAAACCACATCCAAGGGCTCCACTACTCTAATTTTACCCTCCTTTCTACCCACCTTCATCTTTTTGTCATCAAATCCATGTTCTTGATCCATGCTTTCTTCCCTTTTGTTCATTTTACCACAATCACTATCACCACCGGATATCAGATCACAAGGAAGTTGCACTTCAACCCACCTATCAGCTTCTTCACTGAACTTCCAAAACCTATCAGTTTTCTGCTCAAACGTTCGATTGCTTTGCTGAAAAAACTGGTATGGACAGCATGAAGCACACCCCACAACTTCACAAAAGCTCAGAGACAAGAGCCCCCAGAGGCCACATATCAAATGAAACATTGACATGGTGGCATGGGGAGCCAGATAAAACAGAAACTCCAAAAATTGAGAATTTGTAAGTTATTCTAAGGACAGGTAGGTGTGTGCCGTATGAGGGTACCCCACCATGGATATAAAGGCTGCGATCATCTGATCAAAGATCTCAAATTTATTGGATAAACGGTTTTTTCACAGCCTCCAAGTAAAAGGGAATTCACTATTGTAGATATGAATATAGTGATGAAAAGAAGGGCAGGTTTTGTGGGGTACCTACCATGTGGTAGCAGCAGGTATTGATTCTCAGACTAATAACTACCTCAGATGGCTTCTTTTTTCGTCAACTTTGAAGTTAAATATTATTAGATAAAATCAAATGAAACAACCTGTTTTTCACGCACCAGTTTAACTACCGATTTACTTGGCTTCTGCATCATAAAGGTAAGTTGTTGAATCCTCGTTGGTTCTAAGTAGCTGCTTTATCTGACTCTTTGGCCTAACTCAACCTAGGTGAGAAATACCCTTAATTATATACTTTATTTTAACCATATCAATGGTATGTGAGACATCTTCGACACAGGCCATCTCAAGCATTTATTTTTTTCATATCATCACTCGATGTAAGGAGACACCTCTGCTGTTGGTTCGATAGCAGCTAACTCAATAAGCAAAACAACAATCCTAGGATATTTTACTTCCCGCCCTTGATTTTATCATTACAGTGATATTCACGGACAGGTCTTGAACAATTGTTGGTTTGTGTTTGTAAAGAAACGTTATAAAGATTCTAGCGTCGACTTTTACGACTAGGAATACAGATTCCCCTACCGAGACATGGATGCTGCAACTACTTGTGAACATCATGATATGTGGTAACTGTCATTGGATCACGATCATCAGAAGCCTACCAACCAACCAATGGCTCTGATATTCTTTTGCACTTTGACTATGTCATTAGAAAATCTTGCAAGTTTCGTATCACACGGGTTTATGAGAGCGAGAGATACATGGATGACCTCAGATACCATTGATTTTCTTTTGAAGACATTTAGTGATGAAAGGGACGTTGAACACATCAGCAGCTGGAAGTGGTTGGCCTAACTAAGCCATTTACTAATCTACATATTGTACCCATGAATTTACTCTTAGGTAGAAAAAAAATAATTGTGCTTAATCATGCTCAAAACTGAACTCAACTGAACATAACACCATATTATTATTCATAACTCCTCATAAATTTTATTAAAAAATATAGTCAAGCTGTCGAGAACGATGCTCAAGTACTTGTTGCCTATTGCGTACGTAATTCCAGCACTATTACATGTGCAATTATTTATACAATAAAGAGGGTGCAAAATAAAAATATTCATATATTCAATAGTTTTTTTTTTGAGTAAATACTAAATAGTGTAGACACTATTTACTCAAAAATAAAAAAAAGCAATAGAGATTGTATAATATAATATGTGAGGAATTTGAGATTCCCGCAGCCACATGGACCCCACCCTTTATCTTTTCCTTTTGCAAGAAAACGTGCTAATAATTGTTTATCCTCAACTTATACTTTGTTTGGATGGAATTGCATCCAATACGCGCGTCTCACTAATAAAAGCACGTCAATTTAATTTTTGGATGCGAAGACGGGCTTACACAGAAACGAAGCAATACCAAACATGCTATAAAAACGAGGGCTATAACTTGTTCACTTACATATTTTTTAGTTAGAGATAAATAGAAGTGAGAGGAGAATTTTTATTATTATTATTTTTTTGTTTTGTTCAGATTTTTTATATTTGGAAATTTGAGGAGAACTAAAATATTTTAAAACATTTCCAGAGTAACGTGTACTTCTATTTTTAAATTCAAAATTATAAGTAGTGATTTTTAAAATTTCTCCCTTATAAACCAAACAACAATAAAGTTACATTTCCTCCTTTTCATTAAAACATTTTTACTGACATTTTCTTAATCAAATAAAATTTTATAATCTCTCTCTTCCCCTTTTTGATTTCCTTCTCTTCCCTTTCATTGGAATTTTTCTCTTTCTGTTTTCTTTTAAACCATACAAGCTCTTAAGAACTACCTTTTCCAGTAGACTTTCACAAGGACAAGTATTTTTAATATTTTTAAATATTATATATATATATATATATATATATATATATATATAATTTATAAATTGTCTTTATAACTTAAAATATGGTAAATAATCAATTTATTTATAATTTAGAGTTAATCACCTTATATATTACCGGTATAAAATTTTTTTACATTGGCAATGACAACTAATTATATATTTTAATTATGTCATGTTACTGTAAACACATTTACTTTGACATAATTAAAAAATATAATTAGTTGCAAATGTAAAAAAATTTTAGCATATAGATAATTTTCTCTATAATTTAATTCCATAATCACTATGATCTATTGGGGGTCGGAATACATAAAGTCTTACTGTCTGCCTACGTAAATTTACTCATTATTCTCATTTTCTCGAATCTCAATTAAACCCTTTTATTATTATCATTATTTTTTTCTATTATAATATTAGTATAAGCTTTAATATATTTAATAAATATGCACTTTAACAAGTAGCATTCAACTAGTCATTTACTAACTCAATATTCTAACCGAAGCGATGATTAGCCTTATTCTAATAACATTGATTTTCATTATAATTCAGATAGTTAAAAAAAATTAAATAAATATATTTTTAGTTTCTTAAACTTAAGCTAAATTTGTTTTTAATTTCTTATATTTAAAAATAATATTTTTAGTCTTTGAAATTTTTAAAAAATCTTGTGTTGGTCGTTATACTCAAATTTTGTTAGAAAATCTATCGAACATTATTATATAAAATTTATCTTCTAGTATTTTTATTAATAAAAATATCATTTTAAACTTAATTAATATTGCATAACTATCTCAATCTATCACTTTCAGATATATCATTGGTAATATGAGGAGGTAAAATAAGATTTTTTAAAATTACATAAATTAAAAATAATAATTTTAAATTTAAGAAATCAAAAATAAATTTATTTTAAATTTGAAAGACTAAAAATATTATTTAAGCCAAAAGATTATATGTATAAATATTTTCCTTACATCTTAATTTCTAAATCATTGTTGGGTATGCATGATAACATGGTGGAATTTGACTCTCTTATCCTACAGTGTAATGAGCTTACGAAAGGCAAGTCTAAAAATTTTAATTCATGTCCATCTTTGTCAAATTTTATAGTTCAGGAAACTGTCATATTTTTTAAAATTTAATTTTATTCTATAATATTAAATGAACTATAATTCATTAATTACATTTCAATTTACGCAATGTATAAAAATTAATAAATAACAACTATCTTTTAGTTAAATGTATAATTTTAAGTTTATTATTTAATTATTATTATAATAAAATTATTCAAATATTAAAATAATTAATTTAAGTTTTTAATAGATATAAAAATAAAAACACAAAAATAAGTAACTTATAATATGCTTTGAGCAAACAATTCCCGTCAAAATTGGGTTGCGAACGGATTAATATCTGTGAAATTGATTTAATTGCCATGTCTTCTTTCCCGTAACATTCTAGTGTCAAATTCTGATTCCTAGATATGTCTTTTGATCGAAATGTTTTTAGAGATTGAAAATCGATTTTTGTTATAACTAATATTTTATAACCTGTATTTTACAGGATAAATTTTTTCATCTTATAAAATTAAATTACTTAATTCATCAAAATTAAATTATATATATATATATATATATATATTAACAAAATTATCCCTAGTATTAATAAAATACTTACTCCACTAAATACTAATTCAATTAAAAAAATAACTTTAATTAAAAATAATTCATGCAAGAGACATTTTAGATTGATTTTCATTAAAAAATGGTCAAACAACTAAGTTGCTCTTACTAACTATTCCTTCTGTTCTTTATTAAAAAAATTATTTTAAATATAAGTAAATTTTAACTACTTCTACTTCATTTAATGATCTCTTTTAAAATATCTCTCATTTAATTCACATTCTTTTGATTATACTACTTTTTTTCATTTATAACAAGATTAATTTAAGAAAAATGTTATAAAATTTAATATATAAAACTAATTTCTTTAATATACATAAAATCAAATTTTTTCCTTATAATGGAGAACAGATGGATGGAGAAGAAATGGAGTAAATGGTAACTTAACAGTGTAATTAATATTAAGAGTAATTTTAAAAAAATATATATATTTAACACAAACTTAATGTTATTAATTAAATAAATTAATTTTTTAATCCTAATAAATTTGGCAATTAATTCTTATAAAAATAAATATAGAGTATTTTTTAAAAAATATATATAAATATATACTCCTTCCATATTCAATTATAAACAAAATTATATGTTAATTAAAAAAAATTAGTTAAGATCATTTAATTTTGTTAAATCTCAATTTTAAATTTTTTTTTTACTCTACTACCCTTCATTAAAACTTGATATAAAAAATATAAAAATGTCATTAAAAATAAAATTTTAATTAAATAAATAACATTATTAGATAAAGTAAAAATAGTTACGATTTATTTATATTTAATTTCGCAAGATTTTTTTTTTAATATCTGAAAAAATCGTATTTCCAAGCTTCATTGGATCTTAATTCTTAAATTCCTTGGGCAAATTAAGTTGAAGACAACCCAAATTAATGTAACATGATAATTCATAAACGCCCTATTACTAGGTCGGCCTAGTCAATTAATTGGCAATGAATCCTTGTAAAATTTTGATAAATCATTAATTATATTCACTGCATAACAAATGTTTAGTTGCCCAGGACGCTGAGTCATTAAATTGCCAAGTGGCAACAATAATTCCTTCACACCATGTATTTAAGATACTTTTTTCTTTTAATTTTATTTATTCTTCCAATTCAAATCTTCAATCCTTTAATATTAATGCACATAAATTAATTTTTTATTATTATAAATATGGGGTGTATTTGGCAATGCTGCAATATTAACTATACCGTATGGTGGTTGACTAGACCGAATACCCGAGTTCGTGGCCGACTAGGCCGAATACCCGAGTTCATGGCCAACTAGGCCGAATACCTGAGTTCGTGGCCGACTAGGTCGAATACCCGAGTTCGTGGACGACCAGGTCGAATACCCGAGCCCACCGACCACTCACAATCTGAACGGAACCTGTCGGTGTGCTCGGCCAAGTCACGGATTTATGTCAGGATAATTATGGAGAGGTTAATTTATGTAATGCACCGGATTAGCCCCCTAATTTCCCGGAGCCCAGTTCTTAATCGCGGCCCAATAAGAATCACTATAAATAGGACCCTAGCGAGGTACGTAACTAACTTTCAACTACCACATTTATTACGCCGAGCACTTACTTGAGCGTTGGAGTGTTTTTGCAGGCACACCCCCTCTCACATCAAACTACCTGGATAGGAACGAGAAAACTGAGACCTAGGATCAGACCCGCTACAACAAGAATAAGTGAAGTGTATATCCTAACACAAGAACATTAACTTATAAACTAATTAAAAACTTAAAAACAAAGTGAAAACTTATAAATTAGGAGTTGAAAATGAGAAATTATAAATTTACCTTGTTGAATTGAATTTTTTTTTAAATTAGTTGATAAATATGGAATGGCAAAAAATAATTTTTATAATGAAAATGAGAAAATGATAGAAATACAAGAAATACATTACCTACCAATTAAGGCAGAAATTCAATTAACCAAAATAAGAAAAGAAAATTTAATTATGACCCAATCAACCAAAGTCAACTAGTACCTTATAAGTAGCCTATGGACTACCAAGATAGTACCTTATAATATTTAATTTTACTCTCCCGTGCTGGACTCAAATAACTAATTCATCAAGATTAAGAAAAATTGTTTTATTAGTTAAGATCAATAAGTATGACTTAAATTTTTTATTCTTTCCAAAATTATCCCTAAATTAATAATACACCTAATATATGTTTTTAAAGTTTTTGTATTCCAATACAAAAAATGAGATTATTTGTACTTCACTTAAATGAATTTCACTAACTTTTTTTTTTTTTTTTATCTCAATGAATGTATTTAATAAAAATATTTTTGTAAAGAATAAACTAATGCTAGAGATATAATAAATCCATGTCGTAATCAACTAAATCAGAAAGTGCATCTTTATCAATTTTATTGTTCAACTTCCATGTGAGGGTGAATCTATCCATGAAGTATCAGAACTATCCTGGCTGAAGTGATTTGCCAATAGGTGTAACATTTCAACTCCATGCTTTGAACCAGAGTCAGAAATGGCCTCGGTTTTAGACCTGAAGCGAGTGGTTTCTTGCTTTTGCAATACAATAATGCTATTGTAGGTTCATTCACCAATTATATTAAGCCTTTTGGCTTCAGTCAAAACTACTCAGGATTCACATCCAAAAAGTGGACAACTGTTGCATTTGGAACCAAGTGATTTGCGTATGAGTTCTCATCCTCTATACTTTTTTCTAACTCTTTGGCAACAAAATTCCCTTGTTGTCCATAAGGGTGCGACTCAAAAGATTCCATCTTTAAAGGCAAACCACGGTCATCATTACAGCAGAAGACCATACATAAATCATGACTATACCACCTGATCTTCAAGACCATACAAAATGTTACTGAAAGTTTCTATGATATATAAACACCAACTCAATTTTTAGCACACAATGCAGAGGATAACTTCTCAGAAATAGAAAATGTTGTGCTTGCCCCAAGACATGGCAGGAGGCTTTAAATGTATGAACAGTGAAGACAGCGAATCTATCTAAAATAATCCTTTAAGAAATTAGTTCCCACCAACCAAAGCCGAAAAAACCCCTATTGAAAGGAGTTTGTTGGTGTACCACCATAAAAAGTGGTAGGGGAAGAGTACTGTAACAGAATATTATGACCACCCGAAGTTGTTAATAATAGTGGTTACACGGTGGATAATTAATTGAGATAGTGGGGGGCAAGAATCAATAGGGAAGGGGCAGAGATTGTAATTGTCTATAAGGCAATAAATTATTATAAGGGGGGAACTTACATAAATAGAAAGGAAGGAGAGTTAGTGAGGTACTTCAAATTTGGATTGGAAATTTCAGTGGCAGGAGAGTCCAGGTCTCTCAAATAGCTGGGAGGGATACTTCCTATTTTTCTGTATTCATCATCTCTATCTTGGTTCATATATCAATCTGATATTGAGTTAGAGTCTGAGGTTTATCTTTAATATATTTTCAAAATTTTCTTATTTATTTTGAACCAGTTCTATTAAAGTCATAACAAGATATTGGAATAGTAATTTATGGACGTCATCTTATTTTTAAGGTTAGTTAAAGTCTAAGGATGATAACCAAAACCAGTTTCTTCCCTTTACTCCACTTATTTAATTTTTTTTTTCAATTGCATGTGCACTATATTGTATAAGAACCATGTTTACAAACAATTCAATGAGTTTGAGATGAACCAGAATGAATGTTTTCAACCCAAAATAAATGATGGCTAGAAGAACTTAACAATTTCTCAGAATAATAATCATGAATCTCATTATCACAACTTACAAGATGACAAATTATTAAGCACCAGTCGTATCCTATTATGTGCATATAATTGGCTTTGATTTGTTGGGTCTTCTACCCAATCCTCACTACCTCCTAGGCATATCTGTACAGATGAAAAGAAATGATCAAAATTACCAAGAACTCAGATGGAAGGCAAAGGAGAAAAAGAAGGAACAATGCATAAATAAAATATCTAGCACAAACCTTGTACATATCCTCCTTTGAAAATTCCAAAAGAGGCTGCACAAGAAGGATTCCCTGGTGTGCTTGAATTTTGCGGTTGGAATGCATATATGTAGGGAAAATCTGGGAGGG